AATAATTCATGAGAAAGGGATAGAGCTCATGGAGCTTGTCTCTTGTTTTTCATGTTGCGTCTAGGTAGTTTAACTCAAATTAGTGATCCGAGTCATTTAATTTTCACATTATTTGTTAAATATGATTTAAAACTAAGAATAAATAAACTCCAATGGAATGATTAATGCTAATGGCTTGGTACAAATATATTGATTAAACAATTTATTAGTTAGTAATGATGTTAATTCTTACGTACATACAATATTAGGACAACTGTTTTACCGATGAGTTCAACAGGACGAAGGGAAAGGGATTGACCGAGCCCTAATTTATTTTTTTTTCTTTTCAAATATATTTTATAGCAAAAATATATGAGAAGATCCCCGTCATTCCCCTTTCTGCAGAAGTAGTTCTCATTTTTAAATTTGCTTAAACCGCCTATTTTCCTCGACTAATTATCATAAATGGTCACAAAACTATTCACTTAGTACAAAACGGTCACAAACCTTTAATTTTGCACGATTCAGTAACATATATTTGGACTAATAACAAAAAGGTAATTCCTTCCATCTCGGGAGAGGATCAGGTCAGTAACCATATGGTGAGTAACCCGTCGACGTCAGCATGATATCAACATCCCTCTCTCTCCTGGAAAGCCTTTAATCTTTTTCCCTTTAATCTTTAACGGACGATTTCTCTCTCGTTTTAAGTCGAAATTTAAATTTTTTTTTTTGCACAGATAAATCAGATTAAATGTGCTCTTTAAAATGATATCCACTATGATATTAAATAGGAGCATACCATATGGTAAGAAAGAGTACCATGAAGGTATGAACATAGCAATATGGTAGGAATGTTGAATACATGATAGTAGGAGTATACTAACTGTCATTTACGACTTTCATAATTGTTACTACAAGTTACCCACCCACATACCATAGTGGTAAAGTATGGTAATTGTTGGTCCTGTATTTTTTTCACCCTGCTGCCTCCTCCTCTCGATTCCCGTCGCCGACTTCGAATCCTCTCCCCCCCCCCCCCCCCCCCCCCCCGCCGTCTCCTCTCTTTTCTGGTTTTTAATTCTAATAGTAGTAATTGAACGCGTTTTTGTTTCTTGTTGTCTGTTTTCATTATTTTTCAGATTATTAACTAAACAGGTTTGTGTTTTCTGTTTTTTTTTCCTATTGTGGTTGTACATCTGTTTACACAACACCACTGCAACCACAACAGCAACAAATCGATACTAAACGGGGCCTAAGGTCATCTCGAACAACGTAGTTCTCATACAATTTCAAGTGCGATTGCTATTAACAATTCAATAACTTACTTCATTAATGGTTTGGATTAAAAAAAATTACTTCAACAATTAATTCAATAAATTACTTCAAAAACAATTGGTCTCAAAATTTAAAAAAAATTCTACCGAAAAATTTGTATTTAAAAATGATGACGAACTATACAAAATTAACATGAACAATTGTATTAAGATGATCATAAGTACATTTTTAAGTAAATAAAAACTAGTTGTAAAAAAAAAAAAAGTAAAGAAAAACTAACTAAAAAGAAAGATTTCCAAATTTGGAAAATGTAGCATTGGAAGAAAAGAGGAGAAAATGAGAATGATTCCCAAATTTGGAGATGAAGGTCTCCAAATTTGAAGACTAGCAATGGACTTGGCCTAAGTTATGAGTGACTTTCAGTAGAATATATGGGTGGTGGGAATCGACCTGCAAAACTTGCTAACTCACCGATTAGGCTAGTACACCAAATAGTGAGCAATACATTATCTAACCTATTTATGACCGATTGGTACGATATCACAATCACAATTATTACCATTACAAATCTAGGAAGAGTGTGGCAATTGGAAGTGCTAAATTTCGAAAGTTCATTGAAACCCTCTCAAAATGTCTCAATAGTTAAACAGAGAGAAAGTTACAGGCTGCGCCAAGAATCAGACCACAGGGGTCAACAGCTCTTTCCCCTCAAAATGAGCCACCAAGTTCCCCACCACAAGGTCAGCCATCCCCTTCCTCGTCTCCTCCGTCCCACTCCCAGCATGCGGCGCCAGCACAACCTTCTCATCAAGCTCAATCAACTGCTCCGGCACATTCGGCTCATTCTCAAACACATCCAGACCGGCGCCACCAAGCCTGCCTTCCACCAGAGCAGAGACAAGCTCAGGCTCGTCAACTGTGGCACCTCTGGCAATGTTGACAAGGACGCCACGTGGGCCCAGCGCATCGATCACTTCTCGGTTGATGATGTGGCGAGTCTCGTTGGTCAGGGCACACGCGACGACAAGGATGTCCGAGTGAGCTGCGAGATCGACAACGCTGGGGTAGTAAGTGTAGTTGGAGGACTCTGGTTTTGGGGTTCTTGAGTGGTAGCTGATCTTGCAGCCGAATGCTTCTGCTCTGGTGGCTATTGCTTGACCAATCCTGCCTAGCCCGACAATCCCGACTGATTTGCCTGAGAACTGAAATTATAGCAGCATTGCACAGTATAGAGTTCAATACCAGTCAGTGTAATCAGAAAGAAACTTGAATATGAGAACCGAATGTACAATCCATTTCTGGTACTAAGATATGAACCTAGTTTATCTGTTTTGATTCTCTGATATTACCTTCAATTCAACTCTCTTATCTTACATCTCTTCTTATTTTCATGGTGCATTCATCATTTGGGACCCATGGAGTTGAGACTATTAAGGTCATCAGGTTGACAAGCGAAATACGAATATCTAACAAACATGGGCACAACCTAAATAGTAAACCATTGGACTAGAGGGCAAAAATTTGGGGGAAAAGTTCAGAGTTCAGACCTTGGTGCCCAGCTTGAAGTCGCCTTTCTTCCACATCCCACTTCTCACATACCTATCACTCGCCGGCAACTTCCTCAAGACAGCCAGGGTCAACCCAATAGCCAAATCGGCGACATCGTCGGTGAGAACGTCGGGAGTGTTGGAGACCCTGATTCCTTTCTCCTTACACTTGCCCAAATCGATCTTGTCCATTCCCACGCTGAAGCTGGACACGATCTCCAGCTTCGGAAGTGCCGCCATGAGCTCGGGGCTGAGTCCGGTGCCGCCGTCGCTGACGACGGCGCGGATGATCTGGTTTTGGTCTTGGAGGAATCGGGATCCGTCTTGGGCTTCCCAGAGCTTGAGGACCTTGAATCGCTTCTCCAGCTCTGCTTGGAGGTACGAATAGATGGGTTTCGTCATCAGGACGGCGATGGACTCCATTTTCAAGCGGTGCTTTTGGAAGTGGAGTTGGGAGAGCTGCCGATTGCTTATGGCTTTGAGGTTTCTGAGTTTCTTCCTGGAAAATTTTTGCTGAACACTGAATGTAAAATGATGGGAATCTCTAATGGAGACAAAACAAAAACGTTGATTTTCGGAAGTTTATTTAATTGAGGGGTAATGCCAACTTGCCGTCTGTAATGTATAGGACGAGTTTGCACGGCCAGAGGGTTACCTTGTCAGCACTCAGCAGACGCCAGACGGACTACAAAATTTTTATAGGGATATTCTCTTCTAAAAAGTAAAAATTAATTAAATTAATTATTAAATAAAAATATCCAGCTTGCAAAATTACAACAAAACACATGTTTTGTGCTCTATAAATATTGTAAAATACATTTTGGTGTTTAACACTAATTTACAAATCTCTCTAATCTCTATATATCCTACTAGATAAGAAGGGCCACAAATTAGTGTAATTGTTAGCTTTTCAAAATAATTGGAATAACAAAAAAAAAAAAAATTTACTTAACAAATGAGTTATAGTCTAATGAAAAATATGTTCACTAATAGTTACAATAAACCAAATCCGAATCACATAGACAACCACTTACATATTTTTATTTATTCATACTCAAATTACTATCTGGGTTGGATAATAATTTTTTTCAAATTGTAGAAGTGTCTCGCTACCACTTAAATAATTTTTAGAATCCATACTCAAACTACTATCGAGAGTTAAATAATCGTTTTTATCAAACTTTATAAGTGTCCCGGAACACTCCTAAAGCCTCATGAATCCGCCACTTTCAGTAATAGTTGGACTGTGGATACATACAATTCTAAATCATCCATCCAATCGCATAAGTCATATCTTAGCCTCTCATGACAATTGAACCCTCCTCGTTAGGTATTACTCGATTTGACTCGTGTTAGAACGAGAATAATATTCGATCCGCAATAGTGTAAAGTAGGACATAGGTCCTACATTGGAGTCGATCCATCTTGTCTTGTCTCGTTCTTGATCCGGCCTATCTTTATTATTTCTATATTTATTTTTATTTCTCTATTCCAACTTATGTTAACTTATATTTTCTTAAAATAATATATTAGATGAGTGCAAAACTTCGTCTTTCAACTAATTGGATACAATTAATTTACCTATTATCTCTAATTTTCATTTATGAACTATTTGTTCTTTCTTTTAGGCAAAATACACTTGTATAGCCAAAACTTTCGAGCTTGTTCCAATAATAGCCAAATTTGGAGAAATACCACTTATAGCCAGCTTTTAAACTTCTTGTAGGACAAATATAGTCATTTTCGTTAGATACTTTAACAGTGTTAATAACACCGTCAACTTCTTTGACAATTTGCTGACTAGACACCAACTTAACGAACATGTCGGCGCCAAATAAGCCAAAAGTAACATGTCATATATTAAAATTATTTAATATTTACACATCATCAATTAATAAAAAAATGGGTTATAGGTATAATATGCCCCTCTACTATGACGTTTTATCAAACATGCCCCTTTACTATTTTTTACATCAAACATGCCCCTGTAATTTGGAAAAACTATCAAACATGCCCTTCAGTTGAAATTTCCATCGAAAAAATTGGCAATCATGGTTGAACCGCGATTTAGACGACCTGACATCGATAAATGGGAGGGGAAATGTTAGTTTTGACCCTTGTTTTATTTCTCTAGGTCTCATCAAAGTGAAATTATTAGAATTATTTGGCTATACAAAAGAACAAAAAAACTTTAAAGTGAAATTATTAGGGATATTTTAGATATTTGGGTCACCCAAACCAAAGTTCGGTCTTGGTTAACAGTTTTTGGATGAAAATTTTAACAAAAGGGCATGTTTGATAAGTTTTCCAAATTACAGGGGCATGCTTGATGTAAAAAATAGTAGAGGAGCATGTTTGATAAAACGTCATAGTAGAGGGGCATATTATACCTATAACCCTAAAAAAAATTAATTTATTTTCCCCACCGTCATATTTCTCCAACCGTTCTCCTTCATTTTACTTCCCACTAATTGAAAAAAAAAAGATAAAATATAGGATACATAAACATTGCTCTCTCTCTCACCGATCTGCTCACATCCACCATTTTAGATATGCTCCCGAAATGAGTTTATCAGCAACCAGCCATCATTCCTCGTCCCGGGTGATGCGCTTGCCCCAATTCGAAATGAGACGAATTCTTATTATGGCCAAATCCTTCCTTCTGGATGCTGAGATTTGACCCAAATCGACGAGATTCGACGATGAACAACCCGGAAGGCAACAAAGGAGAAGCTGGGAGAGCAGATAGTCAAGATCTGTGTTTGCTGGCCATGAAGCAATCTGCGGCAGTGAAACTGTGTCTACTCGTTCGGCGCCCGGCGTTAATTGCACTTTTCCGGTGCCTCCATGGATTCTTCAACCTCTCCACCTCTTGCATCTTCTTCAATCCCGGCATGGCAGGGGAGACGCGCGGCTCCAGGAATCCTCCGATGGGTCTTCGAGCCTCATCGACATAGAGAGCAATGGCGAGGTGGAGAGTTTTTGGTGGGGTTTTATATAGGGGTGGGGATTTATTTATGAGTGGCGCCATGCTTAGTGGGTGAGAAGAAGGGTCTGGCGGAGAGGGTAGGTGAAGGAATTTGAAAGAGAGAAGAAGAGTCTGGGTAGGCGAAGGGATTGGGGAGTGGGGAGTCTGGGTAGGTTTTGGAAGATGATGGGCAATGGAGAATGGGGACAGCGGAGAGGGTAGGTCTAGGGATTGTGAGTCTTTTTATTAAATTGGTTTCCTTTTATTTATTTTTGTTTTCATTAATTTATTTTTTATTTTCATTAAATTTTATTTTTATTTATTTTAATAATCTACGTGGCATTGTTGGTGATGAAACGTCGCCAAATCAGAATTTTCGTTACTCCAGTCAGCCTGTTAGATGACACCGTTAAAGTATTGGACGGAAGTGGCTATAAGTGGTATTTCTTCAAATTTGGCTATTATTGGCAAAAACGCTAAAGTTTTGGCTATACAAGAGTATTTTGCCTTTCTTTTATCACTAAAAAAATGCATTTTCTTCAAATAATATATAAGACTGAATAGACTATTCTTAGACTATATCTGCATACATATTACTCGATCTAATCCACACTCAATGCAAAACAAATAGGAAGATTGAAATACTCACCAATTACCATCACTAGTATCAACGACCCATCATCATACAAATTGCGTGTTGATGAAAGCAATAGTATCCTAACAAATAACAACACTATGATTTTTGGAAAGTTTGATCCATCAACGTAAACCACCAACAAAACAAGAATATTCCTCTTGAAATAAAAATTTCGTCCAGATTCATTGAGCCAAAGAGGCAGATGTCCACCTTACTTCATTTGATCTTCATACATATCATATTCAAATTTTCCATCTTCACTCAAAATTTCCCCATCTCAATCTATCTTAAGTCAGATTTTAACTCTAGCTACTTCATTTTAATTAGAGTAGTCATCACCCGAGAGAAGGAGAAAACGGAGAAGAAGCTTAGGGGGAACTAACTCATTAAAAGAGAAAAAAAAGTTTCCGTCTTAATGATCCAACAACTGAGCATTGCTCCGACTAGAAGGGAGAGAGTTGACATTCAAAGACGCTAACAATACTAGACAATAAAATCAACCTAGCTAAACAAAGATGCTGCAGAATCAACTACTTGAAACTGAGCTTTATGAATACATCGACCCAATATGAAACTGCTTTCACAGCTCAACAAAATTTACCCCCAATTTCTGAACCCAAATAAGAAAGAATCAAACCACTGGAGTCAAGAGCGGTTTGTTGAGGAAATGAGCTTCCAAGTTACCAACAACAAGGTCAGCCATGGCCTGCCTGGTCTCCACCGTGCCACTCCCCACGTGTGGCAATAGCACCACGTTCTCGAGCTTGAATAGCTCTTCTGGCACATTCGGCTCGTCTTGAAACACGTCCAGACCAGCTCCGCCCAACCGGCCTTCGACCAAAGCAGACACCAGCTCGGCCTCGTCGACATGTGGGCCACGGCCAATGTTGATGAGGACTCCCTTGGGACCCAGGGCATCGATGACTTCACGGTTAATGATGTGGCGGGTCTCGGGGGTCAGGGCGCAGGCGACGACTAGGATGTCACAGTTGGCTGCCAGGTCGACGACAGAAGGGTGGTATTTGTAGTTGATGCCAGGTTTCTGTGATCTGGAGAAGTAGCTGATAGGGCAGCTGAATGCTTCTGCTCTCTGCGCAATTGCCATTCCTATCCTGCCTAAGCCAATAATCCCCACTGTCTTGCCACTGAACTGTAGGAGAAAAAGGTTGAAGCCAAATATTAGGCATTGTTGGAAGATACAACTCTCATATAATGGTTCATATATGAGAAGCAACATCAATCAATGGTTTGCATATCTACAAAACTATAGATAGAAATGTTGTGAAGTTAGATGCAAAGAAACCAAAGGTCCACAGCTGCTGCATATGTCAAAGGAACGGATGATAATACGGGGATAATTGAAACAGGATTCAACTGATAATAAGCAAATCAATGAAACAGGATTCAACAGAGAAATAACTGAAAGACATGAAGGAACAATTGGCTTGGAGTTTGCTGGAAACTAAGAACCAAACACAAGTGGGCAGTGGTTTTATATAGCTGTCATGTCAAGGATTCCTGCTCTATGTTTCTGGTGCAATCTCAGACTGGCCCGATGGGAAGATGAGCAAATTCATGTGCGAACTGAAGGATTCGAAATTGCTAAAGCTCATGATGACAAAGAGCATTAAATTCCAGGAATGGTAGTCATAGATCACACAAAACTGGTCCAAAATCTTCTTAGACAGCATGTCAATGAAAAATGAGCTGCAGCAAAACAATGTGAAGCATGGACGACAGGAGTTAGCCCTATTCCTTCAGCTGACTTCATCAAACACACAGCAAAACATGGGCACACACACCTAGCCATGGGCAAACTACGAGAACCCATACACATTCAAGTGAGTCCAAGCTGACACAAGCAGAAAAGCCTGAACTTTAAACGGCGAGCTCCATTTCACAACTAATCAACACAAAGTATTCATTTTAATTTGAGATAATCCGCAAAAAAACCCATTGGCTAGCATAGTATAGTATATCATCATCAATCATTCCTAATACAACAGTCACTCAAACCCAGAACTCAGTGCCACAGAAACGAACAATCCATCAATGCCAAATGCAAGCAACAGAATAAGAACGGGGAGAAAGTAAAAAGCCAATCACACCTTGGTAGTCAACTTGTAGTCGCCCTTCTTCCACAACCCACTCCTAACATACCGATCGCTCTCACACAGCCTCCTCAACACAGCCAACATAAGTCCCAGGGCCAAATCGGCGACATCATCGGTCAGAACGTCGGGCGTATTAGTCACCCTAATCCCCTTCTCCTTACATTTGGCCAAATCAATCTTGTCCAGCCCAACGCTGTAACTCGACACGATCTCCAGCTTGGGCAATTGGTCGATCAGCTCGGCGTCGGCTCCGGCAGCGGCGTTCCCGACGACGGCGCGGATGGAGTCTCTGTGGGAACTCAAGAACTGGGGCTTGTCGGGTACAGAGTCGAGCTTGTGGAGGGTGAATCGCTTCTCCAGGGCTTCTACTAGGTATGGGTGGACCGGCGGGCAGGTCATGAGAACGCTGATGGACTCCATTGGCGAAACGGCGGCGGTGGAAACGCGGCGAGGGAGGAGGTTTGATTGGCGGAGGCTTGTGGTGGAGGAGTGGAGAAGTGGGTTGGTGGTGTGGTGGAGGAATGGACGAAGGAGCGAGCGTTCTGTCACGGGAAGGAGTTTCGGGAACCACATTGATTGGGCCATAAACTGAGTGTGAGAGATCGAGAGCGAGAGGAAAGGTTGTTGTCTTTTTGTGGGCTTTTTTGTGGTTCGTCCGTCGGCAGAGAATCTGCCACAGATCATGCCACGTGGGACTCCGTTAACACACTGGCCTTTGTATCGCTCGGGGCTGAGATCAGGTGACTAGGGGGTGCCCTTAGTCACATGGCTAAGTGAATCTCAACCACTCAACCTCATTAAAATTTAAGGGTTCATATTAATCAAATTTAATGAAGGGCAATGTAGTAATTACATGTTTATTTTTACTTTTAATTATAAAATGAATAAAAAAATTAAGTCAAGCGTTTTTCGTCCCCCATTCCTTGCGCTGCCTCCCGTCCAATTTTCGGCCAGAGGGATTCCTGGGCAGGAGAATTCTTCTCCCCTCATGCGGCCATTATTCCAGGAAATTCAGAGAGAGAGAGAGAGAGAGAGAGAGAGAGAGAGAGAGAGAGAGAGAGAGAGAGAGAGATATTTTCTAGTTGGAACTTTTTTTTTCCGGCGACCATCGTCGACGGAGAAGAATTTTCCGGCGACGGTGCTTTGTGATGTTTGTTGACATATTTTGTAATGTTTGTACGCTTTGTTATTTTGTAATGTTTGTAAACTTTGTTATTTTTGTGCACCATGTTTATCATTTTTGTCAACCATGTTTGTAATGTTTTTTATGTTTTAAAAACAACCTGGTTGACTTTTGGATGAAACTTCTCTATAGAGGGATGGAGCCTCCAAAGTCAACACATGTGTTTTTTCCAGTTCGTATGGATTGTCGGTCTAGTTTGTCATTTTTGTCCACCATGTTCGTACTGTTTGTATGTCTAAAAAACACCCGGGTTAACTTAGGGAAGGAGCCCCTCTATATAGGGATGGAGCCTCCAAAGTCAACCTGGTTGTTTTTTCTTTTTGTATGGTTTGTATTGTTTGTCGCTCTAGTTTGTATTTTTTTGTACAGTTCATATGTTTGTAATGTTTGTAAATCTGTTTGCATGTTTTGTCGCTCTAGTTTGTACTGTTCGTATGTTTGTACTGATTGTAAGTCCGGTTTGTATACTTCGTAATTTTCCATAATACCCAAACTACCCCTGTCATTAATTAAATAGCCCTTCCCACTTTTTAACCATAAAATTGATGTGTCCAGATCTAAGGGCTGGGAGACTAAGCACCCCCCTTAGTCACCGGATCTGCATTCGTATCGCTCGAATTTCCGAAATTATTAGACCGAGATGTTTATTTGATCCGCCAAACAGAAACATATTGCTAGACAAATACATATCTCAAATTCTGATATGACTAAATGAAGGTCCACCAAATTTTACTTTGAGGTTTTGAATTCGAATTAGGTTGTGATACGATTTGTTTACACTCGATACTCTATTACTATGAATATGATATTCTCCATTTTGGATAAGCTCCGCTCGAATGTGCTCTTTGGTACCTTTCGAGTAGAGGCTTAGTGAACAAATCAGCAAGCTGGGAGGACGTCGGAACGTAACGGACAACAAGCTAGTTAAACTAGACCAACTAACGAACAAAGAGATAATCTAGAGCAAATATGTTTCATACGCGAGTGGAACACAAGATTAGAACTAAAGTTAACCTCACCACAATTATCATAGTAGAAGAGAGGGGCCACAACAAGTGGTTGATGAAGCTCAGTTAAGAGATCACTAATCCACAACATCTCAGATTTCGCAAGAGCCAGAGCACCATACTCCGCCTTAGTGCTTGATCACACAACTGTAATTTGCTTTTTGGACTTCCAAGAAACGGGAGTATCATCGAGATAAAAAAAACTAGAGGTGGACTGTGATCATCGGTATTAGCGACCCCACTAGAATCAGAGAACACACAACGAGGTAATGGAAGAGAATGACAATTAATGCATAGATCAATATGAGAGTGCCAGCAACGTACCCAAGAAGACATTAACATGTTCTCAATGTAGGGAAGTCATAGCATGCATAAATTGAGAAAGACGTTTAACCAAGAATGCAACATCGGCCGAGTAGTCACCAGATATTGCAGATCACCAACTGCCTGGCGATAAAGAGTTGCATTAGCTAAAGAATAACCATACAACAGGCAAAGTTGTGCTGTAGATGTCAAAGGCGTGGGACTAGACTTGGCTTCATATGTCTGAAATTGAGTCAAAAGATCAATAACATGCTTATGTTGAGAGGGAAATTAACTAGTCGAGGTTGGAAGAACTTCACTACGTGGAAGAAATTGAAGCTGCCAAGATGCTTAAGTGAAAATCGACCAGCAAGTTGACCCTGAATGGACGCTAAAAACATAGAACAATTACTCGTGAGGAGAAGATCGTCAACATACAGTTAGAAAGTAAGCAAGGTATACAAACAAAGAAGCCTCATAGTGAGTTTTGACAAACCCACAACTTTCTAAGAAATTTTTTTAGCATCATATTATGCATGGGGATCTTGACGAAGTCCATAAATGGCATGACCAAGTCGACAAACATGACGTGGAAAGGGTGGATCATTAAAAGCCGAAGGTTGAGGCATATAAAACTCCTCATGTAAGGGCCCTTGAAGAAAATCATTATGAACATCAAAATGAAACATGGGCCAGCATTGAGAAATAGCCATCGTAAAGAATGTTCAGATGGTAATCGATTTGAGCACTAGACTGAATGTCTCATGTATGTCAACCACAGGACATTGATGAAATCCTTTAACCACTATGAGTGCATTGTAGTGCTCAATAGAACCGCCTGGGGTGTGCTTAATGAAAAAAAACCCCAATGATTCCGGACCATATTGTAATGAGGTTGGCGTTGAACCAAGTCCTTGGTGTGATTTGAAACTAAGGCATCATTCTCTGCAGACATAACATGCTTCCATTCAGGGTAGCACAAGGCCTCCTTCACAGAGGTTGGTTCGAGCAGAAGAGAGGAAGCCACTATGCATATTGGGAGTAACCATGGATACAAGATGGGAGGTGGTCGAGACTTAGAAGATCGAGCACCAGTTGAAGAAGAAGAGGCAGTGGGATGCGAAGCTGGCAGCTAAGGCTCGACAGCAACTGAAATAAGAGAATCTGGGGGGAACGAGTAGGACCCGGAGGAAAGATCTCATGGCGTAGGGGGCATGCGAATGGTCGTGACTGGTGGCAGGAGAGTGACAAGTGATGATGCAACTCTCGGTTCTTAAGGACAAGAGGGAGAAAGCATAGATGAGCGCACGAGACCAGGAAGTCCAGTTTCAACGAAGACAATATGCTAGGAAAAAACCGAAGAGAGTTGGGGTCAAGACATCGATAAAAACTCTACTAATGAGAGTAACAAAGAAAAGGCAGGGACACGACCAAGAATGAAGTTCATTGGAGGCATATGGTCGTAGCCCGGGTGACACAGACAACTAAAGATATGCAACTTATAGTTTAAGAGGCTCATTAACGAGAACAGTGATAGGAACTGGACCATAAAGAAAGGAAGATGGAAGATGATTGATGAGATAAACTGCACTTGAAAAAGCCTAGGACCATTATGTGAGAGGAGGACTAGCTTGATGAAGCAAAGTGAGACATGTTTTAAGTATATGAGGATGTTTACGCTCATAAAGGCTATTGTGCTTGGGTGTGTAGATGAAGTAAGGAGATGAGTAATCAGTGAGCAGTTAGTTCATGATGTAACTTTTGAAATTCACCACCACCACCATCAGTATAAAGAAGGTGAATGGTTGTGGAAAAATAATTTTCGACCAAGCGTTTGAAGGCAGGGATAACATAAAAACATCAGACTAAAATGATCAACTAAAATAAGATAAGACGAGTAGTCATCAACATAAGTAAGAGGGGAAGGATCCCATACATTAGAAAACAACAAATCTAAAAGACGAGAACTAGAAAGACTAGAAGCGCCACACGACAATTTGTGACTCTTATGAGAAAGACACGAACTATAATAAGAAATAGTCGATGACTTAAGAATAGGTAGCGAATTGACACAAATAAGAATAGACAAAGAACGCGATGAAGGATGCCTCAAGCAACGATACCATAGATATGGAGTATTGCGAGTAGTAACCAATACAAGACGAATAGCTCTAGAACCACCACCAATCTCTTACGTATCGCCATTGTTCTTTTCGGTCAGCAATGCCTCCTCCCTTCCTAGATCCTTCACCATAAAATATATGTTCAAAAATTCACCGAGACAAGATTAGTGCGACAAAGCTTTGCAACACAAAGCAAGCACTTGCGAATACCGGAACACATATCATTAAGCACAAGAGATATGAGTAGGGGTGGGAAGAAAAGAAGAACCAATGTGGGTAATTGCTAAAAATGTATCATCGCCAAGATAAACCTCATCAGAACCATTATAGTCCGAGTAAAGTGCTAGGTTGCCAAGATCATGAGTAACGTGATGAGTTGCTATGGTGTCCATGAGCCAAGCATCATCAGAAGGAGCAGAAGGTCGAGGTTGATTGGGAGCAGTCATGGTGTTGGCTTGTGAGGAAATAGCTGAAATCATTATCAAGTTGAGTGATCCGGCTTCTCACATTATTGACAGATGAGCTTCGGGCAGTGCATAGATTTGCTTCGAGAGCCACAAGTCGATCGAGAAGATCCTCAAAAGAAGGGGTAACATCGTGATCCCGAATACTTGCAGTGAACTCATGATTACCCGCTCCAAGGCCACAAAGACAAACTGTGACTAATTCAACATTAGTGATAGGAGCAGCGACGAGGGCGAGCTTAATGGCAAGATCACGAAGCAATTGGACAAAGGAGTTGACATAACACGCGATTGAGAAGAGCTATCATATAGACATTGAAGAGTATACCACCCAGCAACATATGTGGTCAACGAACTAATATAAGGGAGCACACCCTCAGAGACATAAGCAAATATGCCATTCAGCAGTAGCCGATCCTGGCAATACCCATTGTTACAGGAAGGATTACGAACTTTAGCACCACCGACCATGATCGTGGCAACAAGGGAAACAACAGAGCTGTCAAGATAACTAGTTAAGCTAAGGTCATCTGGCAAACTAGTGATAGTGAGTTATGTTAGGGCTTTGAGGTGGACGCGGCGACCGAACACTTGCCGCTATAGCGCCTTTCTAGAACAATGTTTTGGGAGTTTTCCCAGTTGCGTGTGATAGGTTGAACCTATTTGAAGGAACTAAGAGAGCAATAGTAGCGAGGAAACTTATATCGAGTTGACATTGGGTCTTGGTGGGTAACGCTAGGGTGGGAGAAATCCTTAGATCAGAGAGTTCCGCACCATAACCATTAACTCAGCTTTCCGGCTATAACTAGGGGAATTCGATTCTAGGCAACTATCTCATCTGGCGACCTCCCAACCACTTGGTTGGTTGTTTATTTTTCCTTTAAGAGTAGATTAGATTAGAATTTTCACCAAACCCTTGAACCGATTAGATAGTAGTTCGGAGCGAAGTAATTGTAAGCTTAGGGTTCCCTTGGAATACACCGAGCCACTTTTTTACAACCCTATCTACGTTATGCTTGTCTTAAGTTATTAGGAAAAGCTGAGAACTACTAGCTTAATCATTTGTTGTGTGACAAGTTTGGCGTTGTATTGTCGTGTCTTGTGTTTTTTGTTAGTGTAGCATCAAATTTTTGGTTTCATTCTCTTGTGTTTTGTGTTCGTGAAGTCGTAATTTCTTTCTCATATCCTTTCTTCTTTTGTTATCTTCGCTTTGGTATCTTGTGTTAAGTGTTTGTTCTTTTTTTTGTTTTCTTTTCTTTTTACACTTGTGCTTTCATAGGGTGTTCTTGTTGTTTTTGTGAATATAGACAGTGTTTAGCTGTAGATATGGATCCATATGGTTGGCATGAGAAGTGGGGAGATCATCAACCGCCGAATTGGTGTTATCTTGAAGCTTCTAGCAATGGTGTTAGCCAAGGATCTGGGTACGAAGAACAACCACCTTTACATGCCTATCAATGGTACCCCCATATTACAAAGTATCTTCACCATCATACCAAGAAAAACCTCCACAACCTATGGCGATGACCGAATTGGTGATGGCCGTTGAGAAAATTAAGGCAACTACGCCATATCTAGAAGGCCTTGAGACAACTCACTCAACTCCAACCCTGGAACCAAAGAGCCTCTTCGAGCTCGAGTTATAAAAAATCATGGCCGGGAGTGGGAGTGCACTTCATCATTCTCCACCACCTACACCAAAGAGCCTTGGTGAGTTAGCATTCGAGCACTACAACATACCAATGGAGTGTCTAGATGCTAATGATCCCAACCTTCCTCCTGGTTGTTTCCGGATTAAAGATGTTGAACGAGAGGAAAGTTGGCTCCAAGAGGTGGGAACCGTAGGGAAATCTTGCATCAAGAGAAGTCGCGAACCTTCTACTCAAGACTTCTTCAAAGAACAAGAGGAGATGCTCAAAAGGATAGAAAAAAATGAGAGAGTTATTGAGAAATTTTGCTCGAGGCTCACTCAAGAGCGCCTCTTCAACATCAAGAATGAAGCAAAAAAGGAAGCGGTAGAAGAGGAAGGTGTCTCAAGGGTGGACAAGCAAGTGGACCTTGAAGATCCATCTATTGAAGAACTTGCTTGTAAAACCATCATTGCTCCTAATCATCAAGAAGAGAAAACTAAAGAAGAGATCATTGATGAGGTTGTTAGGAAGGAAGGAGAAACTGAAGAAGAGGAAGATCTTGGTACTCAACATGGAGAAGATTCTTCACAAGAAGGAGAGGAGTTTGAAGACGCAATCGGATTCCAACCAGTGGACAAGGTCGAAGTGGATGAAGCTTCCACAAATTACGTTAACTACTCAAACTTTCCATCCGACCTTGATACACTCTTAGAGAAGGATCCTTTTGTGGTTTCTCTTTCCCAAGACAAGGCCACGACATCATCAATACCTCTTGGTGGATCCGGTGATGACACTTCAAGAATGCTTGATTGGGTTTGAGGCAAAGAGAAGCGTAGAAAACTTGAAGAGAGGTTTTATTAGAGGTGTCTCAAGCAACTATATCTACATGAGCCTTCACCGAATGATCTGGAGACCCATCAAGACTTGAGACTCCACTTGACCGATGAAAACCTCAACTTTCAGGAGGCCTTAAGCTGGACTGAGTACTAGAAGACAACGATCCTGTGATACGACCTAAAAGACACGCTACTTGGGAGGCACCCCAACATCGATTTGCATTTTCTTTTCCTTTACCTTTCAATAAAGTACTTGCATGTTTGAATTTAGTTTGTAGCCTAAGTAGTAGTAAACAACCATGCCTTAGTTAAGAAGGAGTTCTAATGGACTAAGGTGAAGGGAAAATGATGAAATGATGATATATTGTTGTGTGTTACATGCTTATTAATGAATCTATGTGGTTTGGAGGCCTTGGTGGGTATGAAGTGCATGTTTTCCTTTGATTTGATTATTTCCCACCAAGTGCTTGATGAAATGCCTAAACCACTTAATTTGTGCTTGTAATGTTTTGATGCATGCCAAATGAACTTTAATGCTTATGTTAGACCACTAGAAGCATGTTTGAGGGTTAGTTTTGAATCTTGATCGATTGGTATAAGGTGTATGGTCCCTTTGTTCACCAAACCTTACCACTTTGATATTATTTTTGAGCAATCGGCCCATAACCCTACCTTAGTCGTTTAGGTTGTTTATTGCCTTTGGCTAAGGCACTAAAACCCCTATATTGACATGTTGTGAATTGAATCAATCAATCAAGATTGTTAACTACCTAATTCAACATTGCACCCTTCTTTTACACAGTAACCATCAAGTGGTGGTGGGGGGGGGGGGGGTGGATAAGATTGGATCCTAGGGATGATGAGAAGTGTTTAATGCATTCTTTGATTATTGATAAAATGTGTTTGACATGGATTAGTATGAATCGTTCTTGTGTGTGTAGGAACCTTTATAAGGGTTAATCTTTTGAAGAGGAGAGAGTTCCAATGCTCCTCCGCTGGAGGTGGTAAGAACTTCAAACTTCCAATCAATGGAGAGACTGGACCACTTCCACACAACAATTCGAGCCTCATGCATCACTACATCATAAGCAATAACACCAACAAAGAATAGAAGTGTCACCTAGAGGTCGAAAAACCTAGTCCAAAAGGCAATTTCTCAACTTTTGGAGGAGATCAACCTATCCTCCCTACCCTTCGATCCCACAATCACTTTGACATAGCATTTTGGTAACTTTGTTTCACATCCTTTTACTTTCTTACATTGAGGACATAACATTTCGTAACTTTATTCCACATCCACATCACTTTGGGAGGAGATCAACCCTCCCGCCCTACCCTTCAATGTTGGGGGGGGGGGGGGGGGCATAAATGCTTGTGTGGAATATTATTATCGATTATACTCTTATGCCATAAATGTTTGAAAGCTTTATCGAGAGAGAGTATGCTTTTAGAGTGATTGTGGACGATAATTTAGCATGTTTCAACCACTTGGAGCCTTGTTTGTATGCCCAAAAATTTTCAAATTCGAGGGCTCCAAGTTGGCCCCTTTTCCATTATCCCTACTTTACGTGCTTTGAATTGCTAGATAATTGTGATGTTATGCATGATAGAGAGGGTAGTAGCGCGCCTGAGGATGTTGGAAGTGAGGAATTTAGCCAATGATTTCCTCCTTGAATGTGTTGATATGTCCACTATCTAGGTTAGGACATGTGTGCGGGATTCTCTACTCACTTTTGGACTCAAAATGTTTTCAAACATGTGCTCAATTTTGAAAAAAAGAGGTTCTCGCGTGAGAGGCAACCAAGCATAGTGTTTGAGTCTCTTCCAATCAATGGAGAGACTGGACCACTTCCACACAACAATTCGAGCCTCATGCACCACTACATCATCAGCAATAACACCAACAAAGAATAGAAGTGTCACCTAGAGGACGAAAGACCTAGTCCAAAAGGCAATTTCTCAACTTTGGAAGGAGATCAACCTATCCTCCCTACCCTTCGATCCCACAATCACTTTGACATAGCATTTTGGTAACTTCGTTTCACATCCTTTTACTTTCTCACATTGAGGACATAACATTTCGTAACTTCATTCCACATCCACATCACTTTGGGAGGAGATCAACCCTCCCGTCCTACCCTTCAATGTTGTGGGGGGGGGGGGGGGGTTGTGCATTAATGCTTGTGTGGAATATTATTATCGATTATACTTGATAGACCGTCATTTACACATGTTTTTACCCCCATTCTTACACCGTTTGAGGTGTTGATTCTCGTGTTTTAGGCCGATTTCACGCTAGGTTGTGCTTGTTTGTGATGTTTCAGGTCCTAGTACGTGAATGAAGGCTTAGCAGCGAGTCTGGGGTCGATTGGACGAAGAACGGACGAATGGCGAGGTTTTTGGGGAGCTGCACGGGCAGACCAGGGAGGCTGCACGGCCGTGCACGTGAGCAATATGGCCGTGCGCCTTATGCCGAGGACACGCACGGGCAACCCCTGAAGCTCGAACGGCCGTGCACCCTGGCCGTGCGAGAGGGCTGAAGTTCGACTAAATGACACGCTGCGTTTTGAGTTGCACGGACAGAATGGTGATATGCACGGCCGTGCACCCTGGCCGTGCAAGTCGGGATTTCCTGGTTTTAAGCCAAATTCCGAACCAAAGAGGAGGGAGAGCTGGGTTTTGGATCCCAAACACCCAAGGGACGAACCCTAGAGAGAGAGAGCGACTTGGGAACATTCTTGGAGCTATTTTGGAGGATTTCTTCGCCATTGGAGCTCGGGAATCAAGCTTGGAGATGGAGATTGAAGATCTAGATCAGATTTCTGCAGTCTCTCTCTTCTCTATGGAGTAACTTCCCTTCACTTAGGTTTTGAGGAACCTTAGTTCCATGAGTTAGGATCTTTCTTGTATGAAGTTTTGGATGCTATATTGTTTGATTATAATCGAATGATGCATGTTTATTGAGTCAATTGAAGTCTGATCAACTTTTCCTGATTCCTGCTGCAATCTGAGATGGATAGAATCTGATTAGGTTGCTAGAGTCTCATCATTCGGTAGTAGGAGATTGGCTATACGAGAGTTAGCCAGTTTACTGCTTTGTACTGGAATCCAATTCCAGTAGTGGAGTTCTGTGCTTATTGCTTCAGCTTTCTATCCCGGTGAAGACTAGTCGTCTGCCGGATAGTTAGACTGAGAGGGCTTGGTCAGCTTAAGAGATTCCAAGCTACTGTCGGATCTTCCGCAGTTTAATCAACAGTAAATCAACCAAAATGAATTACAACTTGGACCTAATTGAGGAGCTAGGGGGAATCATACCTAAGTGAGTTCCCAAACTGTAATTAGTAGTTTTACTTAGTTTAGTTAGTAGAGTAGTTTAGTTAATCAATCCTTAATCTAGTTTGCTAGATAATGAACTGAAGCTGAGTAATAGTAACTCTAGAGACCCGTGGATTCGATATTTATTACTTGTGCCACTATACTGCAGTCCCTTTCATTGGTCACACTTGGCCATTGTTAGGTGTTGTGTTTTGGCGTGTCAAGTTTTTGGCGCCGTTTCCGGGGACTTTCTAGAGTATTAGGAAAGGCAGAAGTTTGTTACTTTAACGTTTTTCTTTTCTTTTCCACCCTTGCTTTTCACTTGGGTGTTTTTGTTTTTGTTGGTGCAGATCTGAATCATGGATCCTAATGGCTTCTCCAATCATTGGGGGTATCCACCACCATCCGGGTGGTATTACCCCGCGACTCCCTACAGCAATCAAGGAGGAGAAGACTATGGATTCGGGTTCCAGTACCAACCCCCTTACTACGGAGAACAATCAGACCCCTGGGCATATCAAGAACAACCTCATTACCAAGAAGACTTTCTCCCACAACCAGAAGGGCCATCGGAGCTGGAGTTACCCATGGCGGCCTTCACGGGCCACTCTGCAGAGCCATGCTACACTTCACTGGAAGATCCGAACGAACAATTAAGGCTTCTCGTGGAGCAGTTTGCTCGAGACACTGAGAAATCATGCTCCAAGATGGATCTTCAAATCAAAGCCCTTGCCACTTCCGATCCCTCATTTCTCCATGATATGGAGGAGACTGTTCAGCGCTCAGCGAAGCAAACAGAGTGGGTGAAGCAAGTTTGCTCACATCTTGCTCAAGATCACCTTTCTGCTGCCACGCTAGAAGAGGTGGAGGATGACAAAGGCTATGGGAGCGTTGAGGAGCATACAGAAGTTATCACAGAGAACTCCCATGATAACCATGATCAGGAAAGTCCTTTGGTTGCAGACCACACCTTTCCTCATTTATGCTCTAACATGTTTGGCCCGTGCGAGGAGATGCAAGATGATCCCATTGAAGAAATTGCTTGGCGACTTGCTCTCCAATCTGTTCTAGAAGAAGAAGAGCGAGCAAGGATGATGAAGAAAGTTGTGGATGATGAGGAAGAAAGAAAAAAAGAGGTGGTTCTTGATCTTTTCCCAGGGGAGAGACCACATTTTGAAGAAGGAAGGGGGGTTGAGGAAGCAATTGGCGTCCAGGCTGAGGATGAAGTTGAGGTGGAAGAGGCATGCACCGGCCATGAGTTGCAAGTAATATCCCCACCAAACTTTGAGGAACTGCTTGGCAAGGACCCATTTGCAGTGTCTCTTTGCCAGACCAAGGCCACATCGACATCGGTCCCTCTTGGTGGACGCGATGGTGGCCAATCGATGCTGTCATATATGGTTTGGGGCAATGAGACGAGAGAAGAGAAGAAGAGGTCTCGAGGGTGGAGACTTCATCTGCATCAAGTACATGAGCCTTCATCACCTGCCACACCACATGCTCGTGACTTGAGACTCCACCTCATCGACGAGAACCTCAACTTCAAGGAGGTTCTAGCATGGACCGAAACTTAGGAGCCATCGTCCGGCTCACGACGTGAAAGAAGCGCTTGTTGGGAGGCAACCCAACCAGTCGGTTTGCATTTCTTTCTCTATTTCTCCTCGGTTGAGTCAGTTTTGTTATTTGATTTTAGAGTCAATAACTCAACCTTTGTGAGATTTTGTGTGGTGTTTGTGTTCTGATTACTCTCTCTTCCTGGACTGCACTGCCTGACCCGTACATCATCATTCACCTTTGATCTGGTAACTTCGTTCAACCCTCCTTATCTTTCCTCCATTGAGGACAATGTCGTGCTTAAGTGTGGGGGGGTGTTCGATTATGTATGCGGGTGAATGTTTGGCTGTTTGTGTGCTTGGAGCCTAGTCCAGTGTCCAAATTTTTAAATTTGAGGGCTCCAAGTACGTGTTTCCTTGCAATTGCCTGCTCAGTATGCTTTGAATTGACAGTCTTTATAGTAATATGCAACCTAGGGAGGTAGTGTAGCACTATGGAGGATGTTGATGCATTTAAGAAGTCTCGTTTCTTCTTCATATTGTGTTGGTTGATTGAGTGAATTAGTGATCTTAGGACCCTTGAATTGTGTGGTGTTGTGGATTCTCTGCCTGTCATGGACTCTTGTATCATGTTTTGAGTTTAACAGGTGCTCGAAAATGTGCTTCAAATAACGTCTCCCGTGCGAATAGGGCGGAAGTGTGTAAGGGGAGACGGGAATTCGTTCCCAATTTCCACCTACTACCTCCAGCCCCCTTACATGTCTTTCCCCCGCACGAGGCTCGAGACATCCGCTCCTGGCATGGCCGGTAAGAGCAGGTTGGGACCCTTGAAAAGAAAAGAAAAGAAAAATAACAGAAAACAAGCAAAATAGAAAAAAGGGGGTTCCAACCATCTTCAAGAATAAAATAGAGCACCTTGAAAAATGTGAGTCCATGATCTTTTGTTTTTGAGAATCTCTTCATCCACAATTCATTTGTCGTTTGTTCACTATTTGCCGTGATGCCGACTCGCCGAAGAAGTTATGAGATGACTTGTGCGTCGGTTGACCTCGTAAGTTGCTAAATGATCTAGGAAGTCCTCTACCTACGATCTGGGTTGTTTGTTGCTATAGAGGTCTGGAGAGTTGCATTGGTTTGAGTTAGGTTTGCTTGGGGACAAGCAAACGGTTAAGTGTGGGGGAGTTTGATAGACCGTCATTTACACATGTTTTTACCCCCATTCTTACACCGTTTGAGGTGTTGATTCTCGTGTTTTAGGCCGATTTCACGCTAGGTTGTGCTTGTTTGTGATGTTTCAGGTCCTAGTACGTGAATGAAGGCTTAGCAGCGAGTCTGGGGTCGATTGGACGAAGAACGGACGAATGGCGAGGTTTTTGGGGAGCTGCACGGGCAGACCAGGGAGGCTGCACGGCCGTGCACGTGAGCAATATGGCCGTGCGCCTTATGCCGAGGACACGCACGGGCAACCCCTGAAGCTCGCACGGCCGTGCACCCTGGCCGTGCGAGAGGGCTGAAGTTCGACTAAATGACACGCTGCGTTTTGAGTTGCACGGCCAGAATAGTGATATGCACGGCCGTGCACCCTGGCCGTGCGAGTCGGGATTTCCTGGTTTTAAGCCAAATTCCGAACCAAAGAGGAGGGAGAGCTGGGTTTTGGATCCCAAACACCCAAGGGACGAACCCTAGAGAGAGAGAGCGACTTGGGAACATTCTTGGAGCTATTTTGGAGGATTTCTTCGCCATTGGAGCTCGGGAATCAAGCTTGGAGATGGAGATTGAAGATCTAGATCAGATTTCTGCAGTCTCTCTCTTCTCTATGGAGTAACTTCCCTTCACTTAGGTTTTGAGGAACCTTAGTTCCATGAGTTAGGATCTTTCTTGTATGAAGTTTTGGATGCTATATTGTTTGATTATAATTGAATGATGCATGTTTATTGAGTCAATTGAAGTCTGATCAACTTTTCCTGATTCCTGCTGCAATCTGAGATGGATAGAATCTGATTAGGTTGCTAGAGTCTCATCATTCGGTAGTAGGAGATTGGCTATACGAGAGTTAGCCAGTTTACTGCTTTGTACTGGAATCCAATTCCAGTAGTGGAGTTCTGTGCTTATTGCTTCAGCTTTCTATCCCGGTGAAGACTAGTCGTCTGCCGGATAGTTAGACTGAGAGGGCTTGGTCAGCTTAAGAGATTCCAAGCTACTGTCGGATCTTCCGCAGTTTAATCAACAGTAAATCAACCAAAATTAATTACAACTTGGACCTAATTGAGGAGCTAGGGGGAATCATACCTAAGTGAGTTCCCAAACTGTAATTAGTAGTTTTACTTAGTTTAGTTAGTAGAGTAGTTTAGTTAATCAATCCTTAATCTAGTTTGCTAGATAATGAACTGAAGCTGAGTAATAGTAACTCTAGAGACCCGTGGATTCGATATTTATTACTTGTGCCACTATACTGCAGTCCCTTTCATTGGTTACACTTGGCCATTGTTAGGTGTTGTGTTTTGGCGTGTCAATACTCTTATGCCATAAATGTTTGAAAGCTTTATCGAGAGAGAGTGTGCTTTTAGAGTGATTGTGGACGATAATTTAGCATGTTTCAACCACTTGGAGCCTTGTTTGTATGCCCAAAAATTTTCAAATTCGAGGGCTCCAAGTTGGCCCCTTTTGCATTCTTCCTACTCTACGTGCTTTGAATTGCTAGATAATTGTGATGTTATGCATGATAGGGAGGATAGTGTAGCGCGCCTGAGGATGTTGGAAGTGAGGAATTTAGCTAATGATTTCCTCCTTGAATGTGTTGATATGACCACTATCTAGGTTAGGACATGTGTGCGGGATTCTCTACTCACTTTTGGACTCAAAATGTTTTCAAACATGTGCTCAATTTTGAAAAAAAGAGGTTCTCGCGTGAGAGGCAACCAAGCATAGTGTTTGAGTCTCTTCCAATCAATGGAGAGACTGGACCACTTCCACACAACAATTCGAGCCTCATGCACCACTACATCATCAGCAATAACACCAACAAAGAATAGAAGTGTCACCTAGAGGTCGAAAGACCTAGTCCAAAAGGCAATTTCTCAACTTTGGAAGGAGATCAACCTATCCTCCCTACCCTTCGATCCCACAATCACTTTGACATAGCATTTTGGTAACTTCGTTTCACATCCTTTTACTTTCTCACATTGAGGACATAACATTTCGTAACTTCATTCCACATCCACATCACTTAGGGAGGAGATCAACCCTCCCGTCCTACCCTTCAATGTTGTGGGGGGGGGGGGGGTGGGGTTTGTGCATTAATGCTTGTGTGGAATATTATTATCGATTATACTCTTATGCCATAAATGTTTGAAAGCTTTATCGAGAGAGAGTGTGCTTTTAGAGTGATTGTGGACGATAATTTAGCATGTTTCAACCACTTGGAGCCTTGTTTGTATGCCCAAAAATTTTCAAATCCGAGGGCTCCAAGTTGGCCCCTTTTGCATTCTCCCTACTCTACGTGCTTTGAATTGCTAGATAATTGTGATGTTATGCATGATAGGGAGGATAGTGTAGCGCTACTGAGGAGGTTGGAAGTGAGGAATTTAGCCAATGATTTCCTCCTTGAATGTGTTGATATGTCCACTATATAGGTTAGGACATGTGTGCGGGATTCTCTACTCACTTTTGGACTCAAAATGTTTTCAAACATGTGCTCAATTTTGAAAAAAAAAGAGGTTCTCGCGTGAGAGGCAACCAAGCATAGTGTTTGAGTCTAGCCGTCAAAGGGATTTTCTCTTGCTAGGAGTTCCCTTCGAGGATATGTTTGGGGTCCGGATAGCTTTATTGCGTCTCGATCATCTTTCACTACTTTCCATCCCCCAAACACTTCTCCTCGTCATGGAATCGTATGTCAAGGTACAAAGTACCCTTTAGCGATTCAAGAGACCTCAAGCTCTTGTTACCCAACATGTGTGGCAACCCAATGTGGAGTGCAGACTAAGAAGTAGTGCTCGAGCTAAGATGAATCACCCATCAACTTTCCCACATGTGACATTGATAGAGAAGGCAATGATTCATTTGCTCTTGGTCATGAGGGCTATATGCTTTCTTGCAAAAATTTGCTGCAATAAGCGTCAACGTTAAAAAGGAGACCGAAAAATGAAAACTCCTACCTTGAAAGAAATAATAAAAAGCACCTTCTAGGGTCCACGATTTTAATCGTTTTTGAGAAATCCCCAGTGCACACCGTTGTCTAGACCACTTTAGTGGCAAGGTCCCCATTAGAGAGTGTGTTTTCATATAGAGATTGGTGGTAGAATTCTTAATGAGCGGTTGACCACAAAATGTGCTAGATGACCCTCTACAGACGATCTATTATGCATGACATTGTGATTTATCTTGCAAGTTGTACGAATTTGACTAGGTTTGCTTGGGGACAAGCGAACGCCTAAGTGTGGGGGAGGTTGATAACACCTAAAATTGGCGTTATTTAGCCCCTATTCCCAAGGCTTTTGCATGTTAAATCACCATGTCTAGGCCACATATCAAGTTATTTATGCTTATTTTCGTTCCTATTTGCAAAACATCCATTTTGGCATAGGCATTCTTGATATGAAGGTTTTCATAGGAGAACCGACCGCAATATGTAGTATTTTATGCTTTCCCAAGTTTTTGTGATGAAATTCCAGGTCTTATATGCATTCGGAATTGACCGGGAATCGATTGAGTTCATCCGAGCATGATTGAGAAGAATATGAGCAAGAATTGGAGAAGAGGCACTGTCATGGCCATAGGTCATGGCCGTGACCACCAAGTCGTGACCATGTTGGCGAGCTGAAGATCGCGACTGTGAATAGGCCGGAAACTTTAGCATGCGACCAAAAAGAAGGCAAAGTTTCCCCAGTCGAATTGCGGACATGACGCATTTTGACCTAAAAAAAGATCGCGTCCGGGACACAAATATCACTGTTGTGATCTTATGAAGGAGGACGCGATCTTGGAGCTTAAAGACAGAGTCAAAACGCGTTGTTTCGGGAGATTCGAGGATGTTCCAGCTTGTCACGGCTAGGTCTCGACCTGGTTACGACCTTGACCATCGCATCACGCCCTGGAGGCCATGACCGCCATCAGCTTTCTATAAATACCACTCTTACTACACTTGTCAGAGGAGAGACGCCCTAGAGCGGTAAAGTTAGGGTTTTGGAGCGTTTAAGAGAGCGAAACACCTTGGGAAAGGTTCATTGAAGATCCAATCAACCCAAGGAGTAAGAAGAAGGTGCAAGCAAGAAGAAGAAGTTTGATTCCATCGCTCCCCTCTTCTAGTTTGTGTTTTCTTTCTCTCTCTAATGACTTGAATCTCTAATGGTTGTTCATAATAGATGAAACCTAGATTGTATGTTGGTATTTGAATGAGTTTATTTATGGGTAAGTTGTTCTAGTGATTTTATGCCTCATGTGTAGGTAGTTATACTTGGGTACGTCGCTCTAATCTTGTCTACTAGTCTACTCGAGCTACTACAATGGGTAAGAAGTGTTAGGGTTAGACGGGTATGCGCCATTTGGCAAACTAGTGATAGTTAGTTATCTTAGGGCTTTGAGGTGGATGAGGTGACCGAACCCCTACCTCTATAGTGCCTTCCTAGAACAATACTTTGGGAGTTTCCCTGGTAGTGTCTGATAGGTTGAACCTATTTGAAGGAACTAAGAGAGCATCACTAGCGAGGAAACTTAGATCGAGGTGACATTGGGTCTTTGTGGATAACAGTAAGAGGTGGGAGAAATTCCCATATCAGAGAGTTTCGCACCATATCCACTAAGTCAACTTACCGACTATAACTAGGGGAATTCGACTTAAAAGCTCAATCACGCAAGCGATCAATTACTCGGATGAGACATGAAAGCTTTAGAAGTTGAAAGCGTGAAAATAAAATTAACGACCAAAAATTGAGTTACTAAAGCTTAATATTGAAAATAAGATTAACCATTCATACAAGCTCTAAAAATAACCCCTAAATGTGATGTAAAACCCACAAAATAACGTTTATGACACACTATTTCCGAGAAATACATAATCCTCCGATTCATTGAAATTTAGGCAATATCTACCGAACCAGAGTAAAAATTGGTCAACCAAATTATGTAAAACTAGCCATATCTTGATGTGTTCCATATTTTTCGGGCATGTTAATGTTTAGCATACTTTGGTCAACGAATTTGGGTTGAAGTTTAGGGTTAATGATTAGGTTTGAAGGGTTAGAGTTCAAGGTTCAGGGTTTAGCAGTCAGAACTTATGGTCGTGGGACTCAAGGTTTAAGGTGTTAGTATTTAGGGGGATCAAGGGTTAGTGTTAAGGGTTTTAGGTATTATTCTTCAGGGTTTCCTATTTTTGGTTGTTCAAAGGTATCATCTTTTTGATTGATCGATGAGTAAGTGAGAAAAAATTGCAGAGTATGATCATTTGATCAAATTATACACATATTATGTTCATGGTAGGAGAGAGATCGAGTCGAGAACCATAACAATTCATGATTCCGAAGTCTAGACCATCAAATGATAACAAACTAGTCCTATACAAGTTAATCTACGGTCCCTAAATTCTTGAGATTTAGTAACTTAATACTATGTAGATTAACCAAGATATAATCCTATCTTATGATATGCCTTGTTAGAGAAGTTCCATTTTAGTAAATTAATCCCACCTTTTGTCCCCTGTAACCGACCCGAAGTCATTCTTGAAGCTTTCAGTTCTTGGTTGACATCTGTTTACTAAAAATTATTTGTTTTCAAAATAACAACAACAACAACAACAAATTAATAGAAGGACGTCATTTCCTCACAAACATGCACCCCACGTTCCATCATCATCCCCTTCCACCACCACCATTCATCACTATACGCTCCCCTTAACCGAAAGAAAGAGGGAAAAAAACAGAAGACAAATATCAAACATCAACAAGACCAAAAGACAACTCCCACATTCAAAGAATCATTAACCCATCAATCATCCCCTCCACGAACTTTCATATTCAAAGAATCCTTCTTGGGGGTGGTTTTCTACTTTTTTTGGGCTTCAATTTCCCTCTAGAAACCTTCCCCCAAGTCAAAGATTGTTCATACCCATATACATACATAAACCTTTCCCCTCATTGGCATCTAACACTGTTTTTCCTTTCCATGTTTCTTGTTGAGGTTGTACTTGTGGGGTTAAATTATGATGATGAGCTATGATGGTTCAAGAGCATGAGCACAACAGCCACATCCATGGTCTAAAGTCAAGATTGGTCACTCATATTAAGGGTATCCATATCCATGACCATTCATCATTAAGGCATCATCACGCTAACACCTCCAGCGTCGTCGACGACGAGATCGAAACCACCAATGATTTAGAGGATCAGAATGTAGTAGCAACCATAACCCAGCTTCCAGCAACACCAACAAAAAGCACCCAAGTTTCAGAGAAGATCGATTCTGTGAACAAAATGGATTCCAAATCAACGACTCCCGGAGCCACGGAAAAGAGCGGTAATTTTTTTTATCATGTTTTCATTCCATTGAAAAATTATACGAATCAGAGAGACATAAAGCTGAACCTGTATGTTCGGTGGGGTTGCAGAGATGGAGCAAATGAAAGAGAAGTTTGCGAAGTTGCTTCTGGGAGAAGATATGTCCGGTGGAGGGAAAGGGGTTTCTTCTGCACTTGCATTGTCAAATGCCATCACAAATCTTGCAGGTAACATCTTATGATCAAGCACCTTCAAAAGCTTCAGAGAAACATAGAATCAGTCATATGGTTGTTGAAAAGGATAGTTCCCAATGTTTTCAGCTTCGGTTTTCGGAGAACAATGGAAACTAGAGCCGATGTCTGCCCAGAGAAAAGCAAGGTGGAGGAGAGAAGTCGGATGGTTGTTATCTGTAACAGACCATATAGTTGAATTCGTTGCCAAAAAGCAGGGCAACATAGAGGTAAGACAACAAAAACAAGCCAAGAAACCTGCATTTCCTTGTGCTTGAATACCATGATGAACTACCATTCATTTGAAACTTTTCTGGGTTTTTCGACAGGTTATGGTTACGCAACAACGCAACGATCTTCATATGAACATCCCGGCCTTGAGAAAGCTCGATGGAATGCTGATTGTAAGCACATTTTAACATAAAGTCTTAAACTTTATATCAGGCTGTTACAAATTTTTGAAGTTTTGGCCAAATGGGTTCTTTTTCCAGGATTGCCTTGACAACTTCAAGGATCAAAGCGAGTTTACTTACGTCTCAAGAGACGCACCAGACTCGGAGAAAGGACCAAAGAGGAAAGAAGAGAAATGGTGGCTACCAACTGCTAAAGTCCCCACCAATGGCCTATCAGACTCGGCAAGAAAGTTTCTGCAGTACCAGAAGGATTGTGTGAACCAAGTCCTCAAAGCAGCAATGGCAATCAATGCTCAGGTTCTTGCAGAAATGGAGATTCCTGAAAACTACATCGAATCCCTCCCTAAGGTACGGTACTACTGGTTAACAAAATGATATAAGATTCATCTATGGGCTTCTCTCAACAGCTCGAGTTATTGGATGAATCGGTTATCAAAACTAACGATGCTTTGAATCGCTTAATTATGATTCTTGCAGAATGGTAGAGCTAGCCTAGGAGACTCGATCTACAAAAGTATAACAGTCGAGTTCTTTGATCCTGACCAATTTTTGTCGACCATGGACCTATCATCGGAGCATAAAATACTGGACCTCAAGAACAGGATTGAGGCTTCCATTGTGATTTGGAAAAGGAAGATGATCCAGAAAGATGGTAAATCAGGATGGGGTTCTGCTGTCAGCATAGAGAAAAGAGAGCAGTTTGAAGACAGAGCTGAAACTATACTCCTCATCATCAAACAAAGGTTCCCTGGAATCCCTCAGTCTTCACTAGAGATCAGCAAGATTCAAGACAACAGGGTAAGAACTTACAACTAATAAGCAAATGCCTTTCTGAAAGTCATAGGTTGGATAGGAGTAATTATTTCTTTAAGTACTTTTGTTAGTCTTAAACTAACTGAAGTGGATATGTTTTGGGTCTGGACTTAACAGGATGTAGGCTATGCTATCCTGGAGAGCTACTCAAGGATCCTAGAGAGCTTGGCACACACAGTTCTATCGCGTATTGAAGATGTACTATACGCTGATCAAGTTGCGAGAAGTCCAACAAAAGGTGGGAAGAAGAGAAGTCCACTGATATCAGGGACACCACCTTCGGAGGATAGAGACAGGACATCTGTGGATGCACCCTTGGCAATGACACTGTCGGACTTCATGGGCTGGGAAGGCGATCAAAATGACAACGATGACGACTTGCTAGAAGCGACAGAGGAGATATCGAAACAAGACTCGAAGCTATCCGAGAAACTTGCTAGTGTAGAGACAAGAAAGACATCGTATCTTGATAACTTGGTTGGTTCGAGAAGCCCAACATCAAGGCACTAAGGAGATGAAACACCAGAAAAGTAAGATCATGGGGGCACAAATAGGAGAAAAGCCTAACAGAGAAAGATAAACTTTCACTGTCATTTTTGAGTTTCCTACTATGTCATTGTTGTGAACTCTGTACATAAGGAGAGCATGGGATGTAACAGTTTTAAAACCTATGCTCTACTGACATTCTTTTTTCTTGTTACTAGGTCAACATTCAATTAGTAAGTTAAGTATGTCCATCTCTTTTATGATTCATTTCCTATTCGGCTTGCAGTCGTACTTGTTCGGCAGCAGCTAATCTTACAAACCCTTATCAGAATGCAATGGAATAACAGGCTTAAATCACATCTGGAACGAATGTAATTGAGGTTGAAACCGGCTTGTAAAGTATACTTTTGGACAAACTTGCATACTTCATCTAAATAGGGTACACATAAACATGGATACATACAACGAAGTTAGATTTTGCCGCGAGGTCCAAGCTTTGGTGGCAGCTGAGGGCCCTTAACGATCGGGAGAATGTCGCCAGAGACCGTAGAACCCAAGTAAGCAATGGTGGAACCACCTCCCAGTATCAAGAACTTGAGCAACAATCCTCTCTTGGTGAATGGAGCAGCGAACGTCTCGAAGAACTTGCTCTGAATGTTACATCAAAACAATTCAAACACTAAGTCAGAGACACAAAATCCTATTAAGAAAACCATGGTTTTGATGAGCAATCTAATTAAGCATCATGTTGATAGCAAGTATTTGGATATGATGCAATCCTATGTTAAGATATGCATTAGTTATGGGAAAGCATTATCAGATGGAATTGGTGAGAATATCCATTGCCAATGCTACAAGGTCATGTAACTAGCAGATACTACAACCTGGCTAATGTATGGCCTTTAATTAATACATACAAATGAAGGTCAACTATCAAACAAAGAGAAGAGGGGTATGGGGGAATGGATGTCATAGTTGTTGGTACAAAGGAAAAATGAAATGTATGTTGTCAACAACTACTCTAACTAAAGTTCATGGTAGGCAAACTTTGGATCCAGTCTTCTTCTGCTAGCAAAACTATTTGTAATGTTCATGTTACTTGAAAAAAGCCCTCAAAGTAAGATTATTCTCACAATCATATGCTCTACATGAATTTTCACATTTTGCAATAAATCTGATCTCAAAAATAATATTTGCATCAGCTTTCATAGCTCAGTTGGTTAGAGCACCCGTTTAGTAAGCGGGAGGTCTTGAGTTCAACTCTCAATGAAAGCAAAACATAATTTATTTTTTCCTTTTATTTTTTCTTTTTGAGACTGCAAGCAATTCAGTGAAGTGAAACAGACCTGGAGAGGGTTGTAAGGAGAAGGAGCATCTGAGCCATACAAATCCCACTGTCCAGTAGTGTTCCCCAAATCCTCCAAATCAAAATACACACTCTTGTCACCGTACTTTGCCACCACACCACCACTCCTGCAATTACCATGGATGATTCCTCTTTTTTGAGCGAATCCCAAAAACCTCACAACTAAGTTGTTAAACACACATCACAACCTGCAATGAAGGGGAATCTACCTGGAGGTTTTGGTTCTGAAGCTCTGGCGAGAAGGCTTCACATGGAGCTTGGTTCCACAGATGGAGCTGCCTCCGAGTCCCTTGACGCTGGCGGCTGCTGGTTGCACGGCAGCTAACGTTGCTAGAGAAGCCATTGCTTTTCTTGCTTTGCTCTGTTTTTGTTCTCTTCTCTTCTTTCCCGTTTTGAGGTTCAGTTCGCTTTATGAACTGGTGGGCGATTTTATGTTTTGGCCAAGGATCAGAGATGGACACGTGGCACAATGGGTTTTCGTCAGAGAGATTTTGGGTTCTCATTCTTGTGGCTCCGGCGAGGATAAGGCTATCCATTTGGTCCATCTAAAATATTCTCACCTATGTTTTCTGTTTTGCTATCTATTTCAGGTATGCGGTGCCGTTTTGGGCTTCTTACCCTGTGTATATTGCAATTTTACATTGAAAGTCGACACTATGAATCTTTCTGCATCTGCAGCTGCTTCATTCTAACTCATACGTAGGTGGTCACAGCAAGTTGGTCACTAATGATCAACTGCTCAAGACTTTTAGGATTGGATATTAAAATTTCCCAGCTATTACAACATATACCGTCAGTAACTTGGCAAAACTACTTTTACCAAAAAACAGAAAAACAAAAGAATAGTGTAATCAATCTTCTACATAATCTTTGTCACATAACTTGTTGGGGAAGAAAAAAAAAAAAACTTTGGGATTATGGAATGAGTACGCCTCCTAATGTATTCCTGTGACTGCCATATGGGGTTGCAACAGTAGGGATAATACTTGCTGATAACTTGGATCATAAAGAAGTGTGAAGGGAAAATGATTCAGAGCTTCAACCCAGAATGGATAGCTACAACTCCTGCTACCAGATTTTCATACTCAACCTTCTGAAATCCTGCGTCAGCTATCATCAGAGCAAATTTATCCTGGATTCACCCAATAGAATCAGGAATCTGGATTTGTACCAGGTGTATAATATTATAATGTGAAGTCAGTAAGAACATCAAAAGAGGTAAGTTAAGACCTGAGGTGGGAAGCGGCGGATGCTTTCGACCAAGTATTGGTATGATTCACGATCGCCAGCAACTAGTTCCCCAACGGCTGGAATGATTGAGAATGAGTAATAGTCATACCTGCACAAGGGGGAAAACACGCTTAGGTAAAGAAGAAAGCGGATAAAAATATGAGCTCAAGGATGCCAAGAATCAACCAAGATGCTTACACTTGTTTAAGCAGGGGAACATCCACATGACTGAGTTCGAGGCAAAGGAACCTTCCTCCGCGCTTTAATACCCTGATGATAGTTACAGTTCATCAGATGATGAAGGAATATACAGGTAAAATCACAGGGTACAGGCTGTTGTTCCCATATATGATCCTCCTATGTCATGCATCACCTAATACATGCATTGTCACAAAGATAATTTTGTTACACAAATATCACTCCTCAGTCTATTCCTTAGCCCAAGCCGTGCAGATAAATAACTCAACTCTTGGCATGACAGCATATATAAATTTAAGTCTGCAGTAATCTCCTTGATGAAGAACATGTTTCATAACTGGCATTGTCTAAGTTGCTGATTTGATACTTCTCTGGATGTAAGCATCACATGTATGGAATATTACAACATGCTAATCCTGTAAGGTAGTCCATACTTGATGTCTCCAAATTGGTTCTACCTCCTATTTTCCCATCACCCAGCTGTAGTTAGTTTACTATGTTCAATTGAAAACTACAAACCATTGAACTAATCACTCTAACGCAATAAGAAAAGAGAAGTAACAGCAACCATTCCAATATTTAAACTATAATGCGTAAATATAGACAATATGGAAGTGGAGAAGCCAAGGAGCAAACCGGTGAGCTTCAACAAGAGCTTTCTCTATGTGTGTGACATTCCTTATTCCAAAAGCTATTGTGTAACCGTCCATTGAGTTATCAGGAAAATCCAGGGCTTCAGCATCACCCTCCGCCCATATAAGCGATTTGGTTTCTCCAAGACCTTTCAAGGGGTTTCCAAAGAACACAAATCCCTTCCACACATTAGTTGCCACGCTAGTACAAATACATTTATGCATAATTCCTAGTTCCAGCGAGAACATACCTCTTTCCACGGCTCGTTTTTTACCAACATTCAACATATTAGGGTTTATATCACACACATAAATTTCAGTTTCTTCGTGTAGATTGTCATTTGAAGGATCTTGAATTGCTCTGCGTTTGACGCTGTTTACTGTTTCAAGAATTCTAAAAGCAACATCCCCTGCCAAAGAAAGCATTAAGAAATCAATATGCCAAATGAAACACTAATACAAAGGCATCATATTTAAGAACTGCCTATGATTAGTTAGAGCGTCTCACGCAAAAGTTGCATGTCTAAGAGCCAAAATAGGAGTACCCCACTAGAGAATCATAGTACATGAAGTGCTCTACACTCTCCAAAGCTCATTCCTAGTTGCAGCTTTACTTACCATGCAACCAGTTTAGGTTCCAGTTCAACTCTTATATCCTCTCTTTCTCCACATTTGACAATGCATGTTAGTATATGTGGCAAATATGCCATGGTAACTACTGGAAAAAGGTCTGCTCACCTGTACCGCCAGCCACATCTAAATGCTTCATTCCTGGGAACGGATTCAACTTGGAAACTAGCCTGAAAGGACCAGGAACAAATTTCTGAATAGGGAGCATGCAAAGGCGTGGAACACAGCTGAAATTTCTTTCAATCATTAATAGAAGGAAGTGTCAAACCTTTCCTTCCACAATCTGTGCAATCCACCACTCATCAAATCATTCATCAGATCGTAATTTGAAGCGACGTTAGTGAATACATTGCCAACCAGTTGGCTTTTGTCTTCTTCCCTCACTTCTTTAAAACCTGAAATCGTATTTGAAACAAAGTTATTGCCCGTGAAAGATGACCAAAGAATAATCAGTGGCTTGACAATCATCTTCTACAGTTTCATACCCACTAAAAACAACAGCTCAAAGTTAAGGAATTGGTACTAACCAAAGCTTGTGGAATGCGAATGCAGGGAAGAAGTGGCGGTAAGCATAGACAAGAACTTGCTTCCGAACTTCCGGCTCGCTAATCTCAGAGCCATCGCAACTACCGCAAACGCCAATTGGAACTCGAAAGCTTCAAATTCGACGAGAGTACTACTACAGGCAACAGAAAGACAAACGAACACAAATAGGTCATCGACCAACGATTGATGCGCCATGCCTTTGTTTTCTGCATCGGCTTTACGGGCAGTTTTAACGACTGAAAAGCGAAGTAATGCAAATTACCTAATCGAACGGTTGCGCTATTTGTGCTTGCTCGAGGAGGATGTGAGTGCGGCGGCTTTAGGTCAAGGAATCGCCGGTGAAGGGGCTCTTTCGCCAGTACTTATTCAATTGGTTGATTTGGGGGAGATGAGATGAGATGGGAATTGCAGCAGAAGGCGCGAGGAGGAGGAAGAGTAGAACGAACACCTATCGTTTTAACTTCAATATGTCGTGCCAAATTTAGTTCCCTCGCTAAATATCGTAAAATACCGAGACATTTTGAGATATCTCGATATCTCCTCAGAGCTAGCTTTCTTATCTGCGATCTCTCGCGTTTCGTTTTCAGTTTTGACAAATTGAAATGTATCATGTTTTCTTAACTGCCAGGCAAATTCTTCGCCTTGTTTTCTTGGCCTATCTATGAGGGTTCCCCTTGCATCATAAGTTCATAATAAATGCATAATATATACTAACTTATAACCGTCTGTTGGTCGGAATATTTAGAGATATCTATTTCGATGATATATCTTGATTAGGGGTGTCCATTCGGGTTCGGTTTTTTGGGTTTACCCGAAACCGACCCGATTATATATATTTTTGGTTTTTTGGGTTCGGGTTCGTTTCGGGTTTCGGGTTTTTCGGTTTCGGGTTTGGTTTTGCTTATCGATTTTTCGGGTTCCGGCTAAAAACCTCCAATGAATAGAACTCAACCCGTATTCTTAAGCATTCGGGTTTTCGAGTTTCAGTTTTGCTTTAACCGAACCCGATAAGAAATTTTCGGGTTTCGGGTAATCGGAACCCGCAAGTCCTTATCGTTTTCGGATTCAGTTTTAGTGATTTTTGGTTTTGGATTTTTGGTTTTTTCGGGTTTCGGTTCTGGTAACCGAACCCGACGCGAACTGACACCCCTAATCTTGATAAATAGTTAAATAGATTTTGTTTGGACCTAATAGTTGACTTTTTATAATCGAGATTGATATTATTAAAACATGATAAATAAAACTCAATTCTTAGTATTAAAGCAATCATATGAATTAATATATTGAGAGTTTAATTTGTATACCTTGAACCTTATTGATGAATGGTATTCTCACTTATCATAATCAATTCCTTGATGAAATGTTTTATACTTGATTGGGATTTTTTTTCTCAATTAATAGGTTTGTACATGATTCCCTTTGGAGTTTGGACAGATAACATGAAGAGTGAATACTTTGAAGTCAGGACATATAGACTGGAAATAAGAACAATGTAAACACCATATAGCAAGGAAGACAGAAGCTCTGGGGAGCTGTCAATTACTATTTTTGAAGAATAGCTTAGATAGAAGGAAAAATGATTGCTATGCTAAATCCACAAATCCCCTCAAATGATACCAAGGTGAGAAAAACAATTCCAATGAATGAAAGCATGGAAGAAAACTAACTGAACTCGAATGAATTTATTTGGCTAAATATGGTTGCATTCACAATTACGCTAATCATTATTAACCACCATCACATGTAGGTGGAGTCAGGAGTGTAATTAGTCTCCAAACTATGCAGCATTTTGTGTACTCTCACAATCCACGTAGAATTTTTTACCCCATTAATTATATAAACCCTTTACCCAACACATAAATTCCACTTTGAAACTCATATATCCCCTGAACGGTTTGACAGCTCATTCACAAATTATCCAAATTAACTACAATTACACACATGCATGTCTCCATCCCCCTTTTAGTTCCCTCGCTGCTTGCATATATAGCACCAACAACACTACATCTACATGGACCATACTTTGAGCTTTTTAGCGAGCATTCCACTGACTACACTTTCACCCACCTAAGCTGCTTACCCTTACAGTTCTCATAGCGACAGTAGAAACATTAGGTATCACTGCAAGCACGCGGCACAATTCAATAGACAACACATGAATCTGAGTAACATAAGATTAAGAGTTTGCCAGTTTGGTGAACCATGTTTATCAGCATAAACATACATTCAACCATTCTAAGTATTATGTATCATCACAAACGAACAAAAAAGGCATTGTATTATGTTCCATAGCAACTCAATAGAGGAATGTATTTAGTCAAAATTTCCCATTAACAAATGCAAACTGACAAAGAGGAACCTAGATTAAGGAGTCTAACAGTCGAGGGATTTCAATTATAAAACTATAGGTTAGATAGAATCATCAACCTCAAGGGAAAAGTCATTGTTGTAATAAGCACCAAATCTTCTGAAACATACCAAAATGAGAGAAACAAATCACAAACTATGAAGCCCTGAAAATCTATCTGACATCCAATTACTTTATGGGGTTAAATTTGGTTTGTTTCATAAATATGTTATATTATTCATGGAATTGATTGATTCCTGTTGGTTGGTGTAATTAAGGAAACATAATCATCTCACAACAACCATCCCTTTTACTGGTTCTTCCTTCGGCTCTCCACTCTTTCACCTGTAAAATAAAATTAGTGTTCACCTAGAATCATGGAGTTTTAATGTTTTTCATAAACACCCCATTTGAATTTTTTTTGGCATGCTGCGTTCTCGCAAAAAAAAAAAAAACTGAAATAGCCATATAAAGCTTGAAGTAGCAGCACAAAACCAAAATGAAAAATATAGTGACCAAAGTGATTATTAACACCAAACAAAAAACGAACAAAAGCAAGACATTACCAGAAACTCATTTTAATCTATCATACCGCAACACCATAGCAAACTGGCACCTAAGACATTAGCAAATAAATTATGTAATCCACCGGATTAGAATGAAAACGCAAACCATAAACCCAAACGCAATTGATGAGACTCAAATTACAGCAAACAACCAAAAAGAATGGAACAATTGTAGCAGGATAAAAAGGCAGAGTGGAATGACCTCATCAAATAGAGGTCAAGGTCTCCGCATCAAATTGGTGAAGGCAGCTCTCAGCGAACAGAAGCCACCGGTAGCTGCTCTTTTGCCAGCTTCAAGAGATTGAGTGTTCAAGAATAACGAAAATACATAAGCAAACTCAGTCTACTGTTTCTACTCTATACTCATTATTCACACAGAGTTCGAAAACAATATATAGTGGAAGATGTACTTATTTAGCCTAATCTGTCTTCCAAACTGCTTTATTGTCTTTTTTACTGCAGAAGGTTCTTCAGCGGTTCACCTGCACCATGAAAATGATACGGGTGCACTTATCGACAGCCTGCAACTCCATAGAAAACCAGCATTATCCCTTGAACCTTTTGTCCTATCGATCCCTCTCCTTCCAACCTCCAAGGAAAAAAAAAGTCTTTGAGCTGCGTCATGAAAAGGATACTGTTGCTTGTACGTACGCGTTGACCTGTGAACTCACAATGGTAATCATAGACCAACTAACCAAGAGAGAAGCTTAGAGAGTGAGTCCATTATTTGGACAAACCTCATTTTAAAATGTGTATCTGTAATCCAACAACTCTAATCAATTAGTTCTCTTTTCTTTACCTGTGATTCTCGTCCATGACCAAAGAGCTCAAAGAAGGCAGCTCAAGCCTCAAAGGATACAAAACTACTAATGCTGCTCCAAAGAGAATAATAAAATGTAATGCGTGTTCATTTCTCTTACCACTCTTTGAAGAATAGGCTATAAGGATGAGCAAAAGCAGAATAAGTAAAGGCTCTAAAATGGGTTATTTGTTCTCCAACTTTAATTGTCAGATAGAACTCAAATCTGATATAGATCTTGAAATTGTCATTGAAAAGACAAACAAAAAGAATCACCATTTTCATCAGCTATGATCTTCGATTTCCTCCTTTCATCAAGATGCAACACAGCAAGACTCTGTTAGCATATTTTTTAAAAAAAAACACGATGAATAAATACGGCATAAACGATTTTAGTTAGGTACTCATCTTCCCAATGATCAGGAAACCATAAGCCAAATTCCCATCTTGAGGCTGCTTTGAAACAGTCATAGTTCTGAGTTCTGACAGCTATCTCACCGTGGGAGGCCTCATCTACAACAAAACTTACCAGAAATTAGTTGCCAACAATCACGATAAGCCCTGGTGATTTTCATGGAATCTAACACTCCTTCATCACAACACGAATCTCCATTGCTGGTCCAATGGGTTCATCACCCACCACTACTAACAGCTTCCTAAAAAGAGGCTAAATAATGTCATATGTGGAGGAAAATAGAGAGAACCCAAAGAAACTTAGCTAACAGCAGAGTAAACTGGCAAGAATAAAAGAATGGAAATCTACAAACTCAATCACAAAATAATTGGAGGGACCACTGCTTATAGGGCTTATGGTTCCTTTTCTATTTGTTTGATTTGGGTTCGGCGCCTCCACCATGAATCTCCAACGAAAATCTGTGTTGTTTGAACCTGAAGCACCCATTCTCCCCCTAAATGATATATGGGACAAAGAAGAGGAAGACCGTGAGATACTCTCTGTGAAGTAAACAAAAAAAAAATCGAGATGACATACTTAAGGAATTCCTCGGGCCTAATTCGGATCCACAACTTCATATTCTCTATTTCCTTGGAAAGATCCATCTTCTTCATCCACAATCAGCAAGCCTTACAGCCACAAAGAGAGTCCTTCCCTAGGAGAATACTTGGTATGCATCACCTGATCGCTACTGTCAGATCCCCGTGGAATCCAATGAATCAGAATGAAAACTTAAATCAAAACCTAAGTAAACAGAGAGATAAACACATGTGTTTCTAACTTTCTATAGTTCAAAACTTTTCTCACCATCGAAGAGAGGAATTTGACAATCCGCCAATCACCATGGGACGAACACCTTTATGGTGTCTCTTCTCTCCTCTTCTTCCTTATTACTTCCAATGCCACATTGCCCACTTCTTCTTCCCCTAAACCGCAGCGCCACCATTCTCAATCTTTCGCTTACCCCGATTCCACCGCCGCTGGACAAAAGTAACTTCAATTCCGTCCTTGTCTCCCTCCTCGACTCCCACTACACCGAGCTCGGTGACCTTGTCGAGAAAGCACTCCCCACGCTCTAGAGTAATCCGTCGGCAACCACACATAACCACCCCACACAATGGAGCCCTCGAGCGTCGCCTCGACTCCGAGTTCAAGTGCTTCCTTCTAAAGTCTCGCAACCTCCCACTCCCACCGCAGAACAACCTTCGTTGGCAGTGACGGAAGATGATTTCAGCCGCAAAAAAAGTAGTGGGAACCGACGGTTTCTTATCTCTCCTGTCACGCGGGGATTTCTAATTTAATCCGAGAAATTATTGTATACACCCGGCGTACCACGTCACTTCAATTACGTGGTACTCTAAGCCAATAAAGAACATACATGTTGATAGACTTTTACCTTGTATTGCCGTTTAGCATTTTTGGCTTTATCTCTTTCTTTTTACGACGCCTTAATAACTGTTTAATTACTTAACCTGATTAATTACTCCAAGCCAATACAAAATTAGTCTATTTAATTATTTGCCAACAGAAAACACAGTTCTATTATGAGCATCCTCCTCCCACTCTGTTTCTCCCCAGAACTTCAACCATGGAACCAGGGAAAGAGAAACCCGTTCTCCGCAAGAACCCAGAGAGAACAATTGAATTAGTTCCTGTTTATCAGGATTTTGGGATTTTCATCTCTCTAACAATAAACTACAGATGCAATTTTAGCAAATATGCTCTGCTTCAATCCAGTGAATACTAAAATTAGTGGCAGCCGCCCCTTAATCATCTGAGAATAAAGCTCAATTGAAAGACTCGGTCTAATGGCGGGGGTTTCAGAGTTAAAAATGACTATTATGTAATAGTTAGTAAATATTTCGTATATTTAATTTACGTATATATGATTGTACATATTGTATATGTTTAAAACTTTCGTGTTAGTATTATAATCAAACCATTTTATTTTTTTCCATTTATTTGATGACTTGCATATTAAATACGTATAAAATCGATATAACACGTTTAATATCCGTATTTGATGAATTAAATTGCTAGCTTAACTATTATTTATATACTAATTTATTTCTTAAATATTAATTATATATATTTTATAGCTATTGACGTACTTTAAAACATACTATTAGTTTCAAAACAAAATAAAATACTCATGTATATTTTATAGGTACCTTACCCGTAACAATTTTACTAACTTCTCTCTTTGACTTTTATTATTGGTTGGGTTTCTTTCTCTGAATTTGAGATGAACTCAAAGAAGGAAACGTAAAATAGGGAAAGACTAAAAAAAAGGTAAAACATAGGGACAGAGTAAATATATGTCAACGTGTCTGTTTTATATTGGCTTGGAGTACCACGTAATTGGAGTGACGTGGTACGCCGGGTGCATAAAATAATTTCTCATTTAATCTCGTGTAACCACCCTGCCACGTCAGACTCCTAAAATCACTCTATGCGCAGGAAAATTTGAATGGGGGTTGCAGTTTTACTTTTCAGCTATAAATTATACTGTTGATACAAAAAAAAACTCATGAGAGGAGCTCTCTCCTCTCTCATTGGGTTTTGCTTCGTGGCGGGCCGACAGATAATCACGCCAGTGGTGGCTTTGTTCGATGCCAGTCTGAGGAATCAGCGATCTGAGCCGGGTAGACGTTGGAATGATGTCCACGAGTCAAAAAAGGAATCCAAGGTGATTCCAGTGAATTGTTTGACACAAACTCCTCTGCTCACGATCATAGACCGCGGTGGTAAACGTGTCTTTCGTGAGCCTAAAGATGGAGAGCCCCATCAACGGGGTGGTCAAAGAAAGCGTAAAATCATGGATTGTGATGATGGAAAAGCTACACGAGCTAAACGATGTAGAACTGTGCCAAAGATGGGATGGCGTGTTAGCCTGCCCTCGTCGTTAGAACTGGAAATCGAGGACCCAAATACCCATCCTTACCCCTATGATGAGGTTAAAATCCCTGTACGAGATAATTTGGTTACACGGGAACAGGTCCTGTAGGGGACAGCGGCGCACCCGCTTGTGTTGACGACGTCCAAATTAAGGCCGACGAACCAATAGTCGGTGACAGTGGTTTTCAAGCAGGCCAGGTGGAACAAATCGATCAGTTGTCGGTGACCGCCTTTGCTCATGGAAGATTGGGGAAACCCTAACGGTTGGGATGGAATCCAAAACAAATCCCCCCCATATTTGGGGGGATCTGGATCCTGGCCTCCCAACGTAAATCTCGTCACTTTAAAATTCAAAAAACCTATCCTAGTTCCAGTCTAACTCTGTTACATCGGGGGAAGTCGGTTACGTTTCCTAATGGGATTGTGTGCGCAGCGCCTTCTATAAATCAACAACCACTTCTCCAGACTCTATCCCCATGCGAGTGGAACGAGAGTTCAATGGTTGACACCCCGATTGATGCCTCCTTTCACCAGCGTACCGACGGCGGAACTTGTGAAGGTACAAGGATAAAGAGACTGATCAGGCCCCCTGCCCTCGCTCCTTTCTTTCTCCTTCCCCGTTTGGTAATCTGTTACCGGGCTCTTCCCCCGGTTTGATCGACTTACAAGGGACGGCCCCAATCTGTCCCTTGCTCCTTCGTAATATTACTAACTGCCAAGCTTCTCCCATATCCTTTCAGGAAAATACGATGGCTCATGTTGCGGAGGACCATGTGGTTCAATTTTTGCTAGAAGAAGTTCAATCTGCAAGATTCCGTGCCTACCGAACTTTGCTAGGGATGGTGTTCACGGAATCCCGAATCACTCCGATGGAGCTGCGAGAGGCTGTAACAATGCCCTGGCTAGGCAGGGGTCAGCTAAGAGTCTCACAGGCTAAACATGGACTGTTTGAGTTTCTGCTTACAAGCGAAGAGTCCAAAATTTGGGTGCTAACGCGCTCCCCGTGGGTTGTCAATGACAAAATCTTAACCCTACGATCCTGGACACCCGCCGTCACTAAGGGTACCTTCGATGAGCTAGCAGTTGCCCTATTTCGCATCCAACTCCGGGGTGTAAAAGAGGACTTATGCACCAAACAGTTTGGCCACAAACTTGTCTCATCCACCATTGGATAGGTCCCGGAAGCGGGTGTTTTTCGCCTGCAAATAGACTGCTTAATATTTCGTAAAAGTCAAGGCCCTTATCTATTTTACCAAACCATTGCGATCTCAGCTAATGGCCGCTAGCGAGGAGATTGAGTGCTTTTTGATCAATCTCAAGTAAGAATTTCTGCCCAGCTTGTGCTACCTCTATGGTCGGGTTGGCCATTTGCAACGCAAGAGCTCCTTCGACCCACCAACTCGTAAGGAGAGGTTTGGACCTCACATGACCACGAAAAAGCTTGGAAGATCTCTGACAAGGAAGAGTCTCACCCAAAGTATGGGTCAATAAGGATGTTCAGAATAATAATAATGTTAAAGATAGAGTGACCCAAGCCCGAGGCAACTTGCCGGCGGATGGAGAGCAGGATCCGCTACAACTTCAGAATCTGAAGTTCAGGGGTGACTCCTCCAATCGACCCCATGGCAGAGGAAGGGTGAACTTCAACCGGGAGACTTCACAACAAATCTTGCGGCGCAACAGCCCACGTGGCTTTCGCATTTCGAAATCACCGCGGCTCCGTCCTCAACATGGGGTTCGCAGGCCGCATAATATCAAGTAGGGGCGGTTCGCTGCTGTGCAAGAGACTGGCAATTACCGAGTCAGGAAGATGAATGATGCGGGGGACATGGATGATGACAAGCTTTGGAAAGAAGAGGTTGATCCTTGCTGAGGATTCAGATGATGATTTTGAGTTCCAGGTGTAGGTATGGTTGTCGTGCCTCAATGCACTGAGTGGGAGCACACCCAGTAGCTCATGCAGAAGGGCTCCTCAGAAAACTTGATCCATCCTAATGACAAAGAAGGTGATGAACTCGCTCACAAGGCTCATCGCAGCTCGTGTGGTGTACACAAGGCCAAAGCCAAGCTGGGAGCCAAATCTTCGCAAGGTGAAGGCTGTTGATGCTCGTACTAAAGCTCCAATAAGGCTTGGCAATAAATCCACTCGGGTGGAAGAAAAGATGGTGAAACCAAAAGGTCGGCTCCGAAAGGGGACTACCCGTCCTAGTGCTATGGGTCTTGAAGGCGAAGGAAGTGAAAAAATTATCCCATCTCCACCGGGAGAAGACCCAGTGAGTCGTGTTGGGGACAAGGCTTTGGGAGGCCAAACTGAATCTTTTTCAGCAACTTCCCCTTCGGAGGATGACATTCACTCCTTCGAAGTGAGAAAGCGTGTTCCTGATGAGCCCGGAGCGAACAGGCGATGCACCACTAAGGGTCATGTTTGCCAGGTGGTTGCGGCTTTTGAATCTGGTCTGTCCATCAAGGGCGACGAACATGGTGCTAAGGAAATGTTGCCTCCTGCTCACGACAAGGAAGAAAAAACCCCCTCGGTGATGGATGAATCATGGTCCTGGATACCGGATTGGACCGGACGGTTGAATAGGGAAAACCGGAAACCGGGCCAAATCCAAAACGACAAGCTAAATATGGGCAGATTGCCGTGTCGGCCGGTATTTGCGGTGGAATCGGCCTGCAGCGAAATACCAGACGATTTTGATCATTGCCGCCGAGAGGAAGAATCGCTAGAGTCGACGACCTTGACTTCACCAACCCATCTCCATCTCCCTCTCCACCACCACTCACCTGCCATCGCAGAGACCCAACTCCCCTTAGCTAATTGAAGGGAGAAGAAGGAGAAGAGTAATGGCGCTGGTGGTCTCCCAACTCCGGCGATGCTCTCTCCACCTCCTTTCTCACTCCAACTACCTCCAATCGTGGTTGCGGTAGCGTCAGATATGGCGGAGAATGCCAAGAGCTGAAAGAGACGGAAATCCAAGGTGGAAGGGATGCATGCGGCGGTGCCGGTGGGGAGAGAAACCTGATGCTTGTTGTTGGCAAGGATGAGAAGGCCGGAGATAATTAGCCGACTGGTAGATCCGCAGGTAGTCGGCGAGCTCGGTTGTGGATGGACTCAATAAATGAGGAAGGAATTAGAGATCCCCAATTTCGGGGGTGGGGGAAGAAATCCCAAACTCAGAGGGGAAATTTGGTAATTATTTGTTAGAAATAAATTTTCAAATTAATATATATATTTATTTTGACATGGTATATACGTGACAGGGGACAGAGAGTTGATGTGAAAGCTTAGTAGTCGCCACCTCAGCTTATAGTTGACGGACGTTAACGACATCTCTAACGTCGTTAATATTTTTAACGAAAATGACTAAATTTGTCAAAAATAATTTTAAAATCTGGCTATATCTATGTATGTTTTAAAAATTGTCTATTATTGTCACAAAGTGTAAAGTTATGGCTATCCATGTATTTTGCCTTTGTTAAAATAAAAGTTAGCTATCCCTTAATAAAGGGTTATTACATCGTTGATCAATAAAGTTATATTCTTTCAATAAAACTCTCTTCAGCATGTATATGATTTGGTGCTCATTTGCAAATTGCTAAAAAATTGTCCGGTATATTCCGATACATCCGGTATTACTCCGAAACGGTACCCTGATTTTGCCGACACGATTTTTTTATAAAAAATATATTTTTATAATAAAATTGGCATTTACTGGTATGAAACAGTTGAACCACGGTCGTACCACAAAATATCCTACCAGAAAGTAATCCGGTAATGATGTCCGGTATGGTTTCCTTTACCATGGGATGAATATGGAAGGAATTTGTTGGATCCTGTTATTGGTGGGCGAAAACGACCCCTAGAGAAGGTGGAGGATGAAATGGGGGATATTCCCTCTCCTAAGAAGCAATTTGTGGAAGTTTCGGAGTATGATGAATCGGTGGAGGAAGCTAGCCATGAGTGGCCTCAACTTGATAAATGAGGCTATTGGCCTAGAATGTGAGAGCAATTGGACCATCCCTCACATTCCAAACAGCTTTCGGTTTAGTTCATTCTAATAAACCGGACCTTGTTTTCTTTTCGAATACAAAATCACGTCGGAGAGTCGTTTCCCCTCGTATGCGGGGTTTAGGTTTTGAGAATTCTCATTATTTTTTTGTAGATGCTGTTAACGCATAAGGAGGTCTAGTCGTAGCTTGGTCCCCCGGAGTTGATGCTTCGGTGTTTTTTAGTTCCCAATTCTGCATTTGTACTCGAATTAATGAGTTGGATTTTTATGTTGTAGTTTTTTTCTACATTAGTTGTGTTGACGCAATAAGAGCTAACCAACTAGCTCAACTTCGTGAAATTTGTGATGGACTCAATACTCCATATGTGGTTATAGGGGATTTCAATGCGATTCTTCATGGGAGTGAAAAGGATGGCGGAAATCCGTGGAATGCTGCCCAAGCGACTGATTTCCGAAACTTTGTCCATGATATGATGTTAATGCATAAGGAGGTCTTGTCGTAGCTTGGTCCCCCGGAGTTGATGCTTCGGTGTTTTTTAGTTCCCAATTCTGAATTTGTACTCGAATCAATGAGTTGGATTTTTATGTTGTAGTTTTTGTCTACATTAGTTGTGTTGACGCAATAAGAGCTAACCAACTAGCTCAACTTCATGAAATTTGTGATGGACTCAATACTCCATATGTGGTTATAGGGGATTTCAATGCGATTCTTCATGGGAGTGAAAAGGATGGCGGAAATCCGTGGAATGCTGCCCAAGCGACTGATTTCCGAAACTTTGTCCATGATATGGGACTTCATGACCCTGGGTACCAAGGAGACCAGTTTACATGGACAAATAAGCGCATGGGAGCGGCCTGTATCCGTGAACGACTTGACGTGGCACTCTGCTCCCATAACTGGGTTGATCTCTTTCCTGATATGCTGGTCAAGCACTTCACGAACCAGGGTTTTGATCATCGAGCTTTGCTCTTATTAGACAAACCCTATGTTCTCCATAGTCGACCATTATTCTGTTTTGATGCCCGGTGAGCAGATAATCCCGAGGTCAAAGCGATGGTGACTTATGTTTGGCAAGAGGATATCCCAGGCACGCCTATGTTCCAGCTTTGGGAAAAACTTAAGAAACTTAGGCATCTGCTCTATGACTGGAGTAGGGCGGGTACTACTAACTCCCTCCATAATATACGCACCCTACAGGCGGAAATTGACAGGATCAAGTTAATTGCTCCCATTGATTGGGATGCGGTGCGATTTTTGGAGACAGAGCTGAGTAGGCAATGGGAGATCGAGGAGGTCTATTGGCAACAAAAGACTAGAGTTCGATGGCTCAAAAAGGGGACCAAAATATATCGTCCTTCCATACGGTGACAAGGGCTCACCGTAAACGAAATTTTGTGTCAGGCCTCCGGAATGAGAATGGGGAGTGGGTGACAGAGGAGGTAGGTAAGGCTGAAATTGCCACTTATTTCTACCAAACTCTCTTTACCACGGAGACCTAGGTGCTAAACATGACGGAGCGGGTCGCTGAGCTCCCGATAGCTAGTCAGGTTACTAACGCCATGAACGCAGTCTTACTGCTGAAGTTCTTCCTAGTGAGGTTAGGAAAACTGTTTTTGCCATTGGTTCGAAACAGGCGCCAGGATCGGATGGGTTCACGGGAAAGTTCTTTAAAGCCTACTGGGATATAGTCAGAGATTCTGTAACTGAGGCAGTCTGCTTGTTCTTCTCGACCAGCAGAATGCTCCGTAGTTTCAATCATACCTGACTCACGCTTATCCCAAAAGTGGATAATGTTGAAACTATTAAACAGTTACGACGTATTAGTTTGTGCCAGTTTGTCTACAAGATTATTACTAAAATTATGGCAGAAAGATTGGCTAATTTGCTGCCCCAGATTATTTCAGAAGGCCAAAACGCTTCATTAAGGAGGCAAATCGTGGAAAATGTCCTTCTTGGACATGAGTTAATGCATTATTTGAAGATCAAAACGCGGGGTAAAAAAGGTTATATGGCTCTTAAGGTTGATATTGAAAAGGCATATGATATAGTCGAATGGCCCTTTCTGCTTGCGGTTTTGGCTAAAATGGGTTTTAACTCAACCTGGCAAGGCTGGGTACATGAGTGCCTCCGAACAACATCCTTTTCGGTTCTTATGAATGACACACCTAAAGGATATTTTGCTCCCTTAAGAGGACTTCGGCAGGGTGACCCTCTATCTCATCTTTTGTTCGTGATTTGCATAGAGGGGTTTGCAGCTCTACTTCGCAAAGATATTTCGGAGGGCAAACTGGGAGGGGTCAAGGTTTCCCCTTGAGCACCACGTATCTCACATTTTTTCTTCGCTGATGATTCGTATTTATTCCTTAGAGGATCTCTTCAAGAATGTGAGAATATGATCATAGTGTTAAATGATTATGAGGAACTTAATGGGCAACGGGTCAATTTCGTGAAGTCAGCGGTTTGTTTTAGCAAAAACATTACCACTCCAGATCAAGAGTTCCTGGCTCATATCCTAGTTGTTGGGGCCGTGGGGGTCCATGATAAGCACATGGGATTGCCTACTCTGATAACACGATCTAAGGTTGAGACATTTCACTATCTGGAAGAAAAGTTGCTAGCTAGGCTGCAGGGGTGGAAACAAAGGACTCTGTCTTGGGCAGCGAAAGAAACACTGATTAAATAAGTTGCGCTAGCCTTCCCTTTATATGTCATGTCCTGTTTCAAGCTTCCCCTCTCACTTTGTCGCCTATTGGATAAACATGTTGCCCGATTTTGGTGGGGGTGTGGAGAATGGACATTAGAAAATTAGACGGATGTCCTGGAGAAATATGTGTAGAAGTAAACATGAGGGTGGGATGGGGTTTCGTCGATTTGAGCATTTCAATCAGGCGCTTCTAGCCAAGATTGGCTCGCGAATCCTGAATGATCCTTCCTCTCTTCTTGCTTGAGTATATAAAGGGAAGTACTTCCCAAATGGATGTTTTTTGGAGGCTATTGCAGGCTCGCGTCCATCCTGGGGATGGCAAAGCATTCTCTTTGGCAGACAATTGCTGGTTCAGGGCCTACGATGGCAAATTGGGAATGGTCTGACAGCCACGCTACTCCATAGCAGTTGGGTGCCGCATCTTCATCCCCTCACGCCTACTTTTAACCCAATGGTTGTGCCTGAGGAGGGTACCCTAAAGGTTGTTGCAATTATTTGCCATGAGGAGGGGCGTTGGTGTGATTCCAAATTAAGTCAATTGTTTGACTCGCCCACTTGTCGCGCTATTAAGGAAATCCCCCTGCCTCGTCACAATGTGGAGGATAGACTAATTTGGCATGGTTTGACTGATGGGCTTTTCACTGTTAAATCGGCTTACCTTCTGGCAGTTTTTATGGATAAAAAAGAGGGACGTTGGCGATCAGAAGCTAGTTGGATGGATAGATCCAGTTGGATTAGGTTATGGGAGGCTCCTATCCCGTCCAAACTAAGATTTTTTCTATGGCAAATCTTCAATCGTCACTTCCCACGACGGAAGCTCTTCTTGAGAAGGATGTTCCTGTCCATCCCGATGTCCGGTTTGCTGGGCGGAATCGGAAACCTTGGAGCATTTATTTCTTAACTACCCAGTGGCCAGGGCTCATTGGAACTATGCGAGCCCAGAGTATCTTGGCCAAGGGTTGTCGCGCCATACTTTCCCTTTATTCCTCAAAAGATTGATGATGCTCCTTCACCAACCTCAGCTATTTATGGCGGTGGTTGTTGTTCTTTGGCGGATATGGCGATCACGTAACTAGGTTGTCTTTGAAGGCAAGCAGTTTGGTATACCAGCTTTAATGCGCCAATTCCACCAACAATATCAGGAATGGGTAAATTTGCCCGTGGCTCGGACTCCGGGGGGGGGGGGGGGGGGGGGGGGGGGGGGGGGAGTAGTCCTGCCGGCTCAGCCTATGGAGGGTGCTCACCCTTCCTCGATAGTCTGTAAATGGGATGGGGCTACCAAGCTTGCATCCCACTCGGCCGGGCGAATGGTTATCCTAACTCAGGATGGGGAGGTCCTCCTGGCTAGAGGTGATCGGTTTCTGGGAATTGATGATCCCCTGACTGCGAAGATGTTGTCCTTCCATGAGGCGATTCTCTAGTGCCTTGCGTCAGGTTTTATGGAAGTCCGATTTGACGGGGATACTAAAGTGATTATTGATAAATTCAATCGATCGGACAACCGAGATAGTCGAATTGGAGCTCTTCTAGAGGAGGTTGTGCGGTACTTGGATGCTCATAGCGGCCTTAGTGTGCGGTTTGTAGGTCGGCGTAGTAATAGGGTAGCCCACTTGGTGGCTAGAAAGGCCTTCAGTTGTACCCGACTGCGAGTCGTTTATTTGATTTCTTGACCTGGTTAAACTCCTGGATGTAACTATCTTTTCTTATCAATATATAACTATTATCTTGTCACAAAAAATGCATAATCTATACTAGTTCTCATTTATGATAATCTACTATCACTATCTCAATAAATTTTAATGGATTATATCTTTTTTCGTTTTGAGTCAAAATTAAAAAATTACACAGTAAAATAAAATTAATTATGTTCTTCAAAATGATATATAATTTGACATATTTTGAATTTTTTTTTTGAGATTTTTATTATCAGTCCATAACTAGTGGTACTACTTGATATATACATAAGATTATACCACTTAGCATGCAAGTGTATCTGTATCATAGTGGTATTAACACAACATAGTGTAGAATGATTGCATACATAATAGTAGAAATATAATAATCGACATTTACCATATTTCATCAACCTAAGGCACTAGTTACCACCATATACTAGGGTGGTACTTTTTGTCCTAGAAAATTTACCCCCATGAATTTGTAGATTTTATAGATGATGACGAATTCGTTCCTTCTGTGCAAAAATTTTCAAAATTCGAATTAATAATGAAGGTGATATCAAGTGATTTCAGGTGGTACCGAGTGGTATGGAATTTTTTTGCTCGAAATATTATTGAAAAATGAATATCATTTGTAGATCACAACGAACCCCTTCATCTTTGTAAATTTTTTTTAAATCCAAATTAGAACGAAGAAGATAAAAGCCGAGTAAAAAAAGTAGGAAAAAAAGTTATTAATTTTCATTCCTTAGATATGACCCAATTAAAGCTAAGGTTTCATATCTGGTTATGGTTATGCATCCTATGCTAAGCTCCCTATGAGTTGATTTGTTCAAGAAGAGACCTTTTAGGATAGCTTTGTTCTCCTAAACTTTAAACCTAAAATTTGAAAGAGGGACCGAAAATAACAAACTGCAACCATTTATAATAATTGAACTTAAAACTTAAAATAGTGGGGGGCTAATAACCCCATCCTATCACATTCTTCTCAACCAAAATACACACATTATAAATTTATATCAACCCCTCTTAAAATACCTGTTAAGAATACCCGTAACTCCACCACTCATCAGAGGTAAAAGGAAAGATGATGTTTGGCCAACCCAACGCATGATGATGCAGTCGGATGAGCAGATGGAAGGATGAGTACACCCACCCACAGGGACCTAACCTTTACGTGAACAGTGAACCCGATCCATCTTTACTTCAGAAATGGCTCGAAGAGCATCTTAATCCTATAAGATGCCTGCCGTCCGCAATTGATGGTGTCATGAATCAACTTTTCCTAATAACTTATTCGTGGCCTACTTAATAACTTTTTTACACGTTCTCTCAAACGAAAGCAAATTCATGAGATTTGAAGTTTAGCCCAACTATACCATGTGATTTAAGACAATAAGTAATGTTGAAGGTTGTGAGGACTTGAACACGTGATCTCAAGAAAAACCAACTCTTATACCAGATCAACTAATTTCAACACACGTAGTTAGCAACAACTGGCTAATTTCCTACAAATCCTTAGGCATGTGTCGTCTAAATCCTAAACTTCTAAGCGTAAGCCCATTGTCTCAAACCATGCCATGGCAATAGCCTGGCATTGTAGCAAACCCAATAAATTCCGACCTGCGACAAATAGAATAGGCCAAAAGATGGAGGCAGGCAAGGCAACCTCATTAATGTGATTGGATCCTCCAGCCTATAAATGATATAAGGACAAGGGTGGAATTAAAGGTTAGCTCTAAGTTTGGGGCATTTTGATAATAATGGTAAAATGGTGTGGGGAAGACGTGACAAAGACCTGCCTGATGATAGATAGAAGATCAACCTGCCCCAGCCCCACTACTATGAACCAGAAATGAGTACAAACCCACCATTTCTTGTCTTGTCTTGTCTTCACAAAATCAAAGGGCTAATTGACCGTATGGTTTGACCTTTAGATATCCTCCAAAACCAAAAGTGTTAGCTTAAGTAGCTAGCTAGGTCACGTATAAAAATATATTTCCCCTGTATTAAGACTAGTCTTTTTCATAGTATTTTGTTGATAGAAAAAGTAGGATGAGAATGAGGGATTATATACCACTGAGACTTAGGGGTTGTTTGGATGAGAAATTCTAATGGATCAATCTGACACAATTGTCTCGTTTTGAGTCAATTGTGCTAGATTGATCCGTTTGGCAGCAGAAAATTTGAATGAAGCAATTTGGGCTGGGGAATTCTGAATTGACTCATTTTGAGCCAATTACAATTGTCTAGGGTGGGGGCAGGTAATCTGAATTGACTCGTTTTAAATGACTCGTTTTGTAAAATGAAACAATTGGTCAAATTGTCTCGTTTTACAATTGATCCATCCAAACGACCCCAATAGTCTCTTTCAGATGAATCTATTGCAGCATCTTATTTAACCCTTTTAGAGATTTGAATTCTAGATTCACAGTTCTCTAACTTAAAAAAAAAAAGGTAAATCTAAACTCTAACTTGTTATCCAACCGTAATGTTACCTACGGATCGCATTTTAATTGTACAAGATTAAATCATCATAGAAATGCAAGAAAACAAAAATGCATAATCATGTATGAATAAGAGATTGGCCTAGCTAGTGGTAATATCACACTAGTCTTGAACCTAGAGATTCCAGATTTAAATATGTTAAGTAGTACCTAATAAATAAAACCTATATCCAAACATAAGAGGTCATCAAGTTCTTGTTCTTATTTGTTATAATTTAATGTTTTCAATAATTTATCAATAAAATAATTTAATAATATTAATTAATCAAACCAACTGCCTCTAGACGAGATACCAATTCATTAAGCTACAGGAAAACGGAAGAAAACAGATGCAAGTGACTCCTAATCAGAACCAGCTTCTCAATGCCAACTCATAATCTAAACAAACTAAGCCATACTTCCCACAATTAAATCACCTACAGCCCAAATTAAAGCTCTTGAAGTTAAGGTTAATCCCTCTATAATAATAATAATGATGATAAGTAACTAGACTTGTCATTCTCTAAATGGCAATTAAGCTAATCATGAAGTTAGCCTCAGTTCCACCCAAAAAAAGGAATTGTGGCCGTTCGTCTTGTTAACAACCAACTCACTTCAAAGTTCAAATGGATCGAGTAGCAATTTAGTTACCTTATAATAATTGAATCTTAAATATATGAGAAGGAAAAGCTATCATAGAAGTGCGGTTAAACAGAAGGGAGGATCTTGTATTTAAACCAGAAAATCACACTGTCTTAATATGCATGAAAGCATTTCATCAGCCTAATTCATTGTGGTAGTTGCTAAGAAAGTTTATTATACGTGGCGAAAAATCAAATACAATAAAAGAAATAAACTGACACAGTATATTTTCCGCTCCACTCAACTTGATGCAGGGAAAAGTAAATGGAGGATCTTGCATTTAAATTAAAAGATCACATTTCTTTAATATACATTCAAGCGCGGCCTATTTAATGGTGGCGGTTTTTGAGAAAATTTGTTATACGCGATGACATATCAAATTTAGTAAAAGATGTAAACTAATGCAATATACTCTCCCGCTTCAACTGCTATAGCGCGCCTAATTATTATTTTAAGAGATCCTCTCATCAACAATCATCACTATAGGGTTTATAGTATGCTCTCCCAAATTAAACTATCAAATTTTCATGAAATTGTTTAGTAGTATGGGGTGTATATATCAGGGGCCACAATAAAATAAAAAAAAGTAATCGTTCAAGGATCACCTGGGGGCAACATGACTATTAACTATTTATTAATTTTCAAATCAAATACTTAATAATTTTTCTTGAACTAACTCCCTCTATTCAAGATAACCATTTATGAAAGCAATAGTGAACCCAAACAAATCCAAATGAATACTAAAATTAAACCGTCTTCTCCTTGAAATCCCATAATTATTAAACCAAGCTCAGCGATACTTCCCACATTCGGGCTTAAGATAGGGTGCATAACCATGGGTTATGCATTCATCAATAACCAAATCTGGACCCTTCATTTAGAAAATTAGATTTAAGGATGGAAAATTAAGGACCATTTTTATGTTTCCTAGTTTTCTTAATCGGCTCATATCTTTTTCGTTTTAACTCGTTTTTTTTGCACAGATGGAACGAGTCAGATGGAACGAGTTCATCGTGCTCTACCAAATGAGAACAATTTTCAATATTTTTTTAGAAAAAAAATTATGGCCTCTCGGTACCAATTGCATGCCATATGGTATCTTCTTTGTTTTTAATTCGTTTTTGAAAAAGTTTGCACAGAAGGGACGAGTTCATCATGATCTATTGGATCTACAAATTTCTGGGTGAACAAATTACAGGACCAAAAAATATCACACAATACCATACAATACCACCCTGGTACGGGGTGGTATTGTATGGTATCTTCTTCGTTTTTAATTCGTTTTTTAAAACGTTTGCACAGAAGGGACGAGTTCATCATGATCTATTGGATCTACAAATTTCTGGGTGAACAAATTACAGGACCAAAAAATACCACACAATACCATACAATACCGCCCTGGTACGGGGTGGTATTGTATGGTATCTTCTTCGTTTTTAATTCGTTTTTGAAAACGTTTGCACAGAAGGGACGAGTTCATCATGATCTATTGGATCTACAAATCTCTGGGTGAACAAATTACAGGACCAAAAAATACCACACAATACCATACAATACCACCCTGGTACGGGGTGGTATTGTGTGGTATACAATGTTAAAAGTCGTAAATGACAATTAATATACTTCTACTATCATGTATTCAACCATCTTACAGTCTTGGTTTGTTCATACCACCATGGTACGTTTTTCAAACCATAGGTATGCTTTTATTTCAATACTAGTCAATACCACATGGTATAGACTAGTAAAAAATGGCTCAATTTTTTTTGTTAGAAAAATATATTAAAGTGGATATAATTTTGAAGTGCACAATTAATCTGTTCTAACTGTGCAAAAAAAAATTAAATTTTGACTTAAAATGAGTGAGAAATCGTCCGTCAAAGAT